ATAGATTTTCCTTACCTTATGTGCATGAATGAGGGATCGTGATCTTGAAAAATTATCTAATTTATCATACAATATGCATAGTTCCTCTTCTCAAATAGAGTTAATGCGTGTCGAAATGTCACATTAGATTTGTTTTTTCTAAACCAGGAAGATAGATATCTTTAACGGATAAGGTATACATCAAACAAAGAAACAACGAAAGAAACGAACGAAACATGTGTATGATCAAATTCAAACTGCAATTTTGTTCTTATTATTGTTAAGTCGGTGCAAACGCGTTTGGTTGATTAGACTCCTCATCAATCTCGTCATTTTGTCAAGAATCACTAAATGTTCATAATTTATTACCTCGTTTGCAATTCAATCTGCACTAAAATGTTGTAACGATACCAAATTATTTTCTCTGGGAACTATTGCACTTTTTTTACTTTTGACAACCTGTGTCAAAGTTTTTATCTAGGTAATATAACCGTCAACCACTTCAATTACATATTTAAAGTCAGAGTTAAGATAGTAAATGTTTAATAAAATAGACTAGAAAAAACATCTTCAATTATTTTGGACAACCTAAAAATATTTCATATGTTGTTGAAGGCAGTTACGTGGAAGTCTCTTGCGAATGAAGGTGGAGAGTTAACTTCATTTTCTGTTGATGACAGTTATATGGCGTTTCAAACCTGGCAATCTTTGAGCTTTTCATTATTTTGGATCATGTTATTATTATTTTTCTTTTTCTGATCAGCGTTTGGATAATGTTATTAATTTCCTCTAATGCTAAAAATTAGTACTCTCATACTCAAGAGAAGCACATCACTAACTTTTGACTAGTTTAGCATTGTCCGTGGGAATTAGATAAGAGATTAATCACAGTTTCTATGGATTTTGATGATATTTCTTGATTAGGTAGACTAAATTGAGGAAATTTTTCAGAACATGGTCCTACAATGATATTCTTTATTTATGGATCAAAACAATACGTGGAGCATGGGTGTCATTTCTTTTTATCTGTCTACATTACCTTTCTATCAATGAGTCAATTTTTGAAGAGGGATCCTGATCCAATTCCAACAATTTAGGCTTTGTTTGTTCTTATGTTGGATCAATTTTGAAACTCCTTTTCTTCTTCGACAAAATGTATTGGAAATTTTGTTTTCATGTTGAGAAAAAGTAATTAGAAAACAAAATTCTTCTATAAATTTTATTGAGAACATTAAGTTGTATTACAAATTTACTGTTAAGATAAAAATTTCCAAATATAATTATTTTTTACTTCAAATTAATTAGTTTTAACTAAAATAGATTTTACAGATTTAAGAATGTTCAAATCAAATTTATAAACATTCACCCAAACACACTTTACTCTATCTGTTTCTCAAAATATTGTTATAGAAAATTTGTTTTATTTTAATTTATGTCATTTTAGAAAATTTAAGAATAATTATTAGTTTTATTTATATGTCATTTGAATTTATACGATAGATATTAATAATTAATAAATTGATAATATTTCGTATTTTTTCATTAAAGAATATTTAATCAAAGTAATTATATTTGCCTATAATGAAACTATTCCATAGTTTTTCAATACATACATTGAGGCACGTGAACTACGTACGATGATGATGAATATTTTTAATTAGTTGATATATGCGCAAACTAGCTCATCAGATACCACTTAACTGTGATAAGAAAAAACATTTCAGTTGAAACCACAACAGCATTCTTTCTAATAATTGTTTCAACTATTTTTTTTTAAAGGAGAAAACGATTTTCATCTTTGTGAAGAGGCATTTTGTTGATGCACAAAACAGAGAGTTTTAGCTTGAAGAATTTATTGGATTTGGACGTGGTTTATGAAAAAAGATAGAAGCAGTTTATATAGAAATTTAATTCAATATTAGATTTAAGTAAATCGTGACCGTTTATTTATAATTACATGATCAAGATTTAGTATGCTCATAACACTTCATGTACACACACCCATTGTTAACCAAATCATAAGAATGAATTGTTTATTATAAATGTTTGATCACGATGTCGTGTATACACTTAATTTTATATAAAGAGAGATTTTGTAATTTAGCTAGTAATGGACTCAGCAATTGCCCCTAAAAGCATATAAGTCCATCCTTAATTTTAGTTTATGCATAAGTTAGCTTAATTATAAAAAAACCTCTTACAAACCAAATGTAATTGTAATATATACTTAATTCAAGGAAATTTTAATAGCCATTTATTTATAAATTGTTGTAAAAAAAAAAAACACTTAATTATCAGAATAAAGCTTTGATACTAAGAAACATTTACAACGAACTATAGGATGCTTATAGATCATTCTTCGCATAAAAGATCTCTATCTTCCAAACTTTGGTGGGTTGCTGAGATTTGACAAAGCATGCAAGGGCTTCACCAACTGATCTAAGAATCACAAGCAGAGGCTGATTAAAACTCATGATTAACAACTAATTAGAAAAAACACATCAACCTCTAAAAGGTCCATTTTTAATTGTTAAAATATCTCACATTAAATTTAGTTAGTTTTTGAGAGTAAGGTCTCATCTATTTTTAATATGGTATCAAACTATGCAGGTGATAGGAGAGGATCTAAATCCAATACATTTATGGGCTAGTCTCTTTCGCTATAGAAATAGTATTCTTATCATCAATGGAATCAAATTGTGAGAGAGGAGAGACGTCGATTGTGATGCAAGGATGATATATACCATTTATTAAATCCTATGCTATGGAGCTGTCTTTAGCATCCATAACTTCGATGTTGACATGAAATTCTTGGCTACGATTCATGTATATACTAGGCTGAGATGAAATCTCACGTTATAAGTAGAATATATAGCCTTTGATGTAGAATTAAATATGCACAATTGACACAAGAATCTCTCAACCATCACAGAATTGATCTCTGGGCTAGTTTCTTTCGTATCAAGTTCTCTCAGCAGTGGGCGCAGCTAGTGCTTTGTCTCAATATGAATACTTGAAAGCTAATTTCTTTGGAACTAAGTATTTCTAAGGCATCTTCACGTATACATCACTAGGAATTTGATGGGTTAAAGTTTCTTACGATTACAAAATGAAGTTACTGGACATATATACCCAGCTCCTATATACCAAAAAACCATCAACAAGATGTATAACTAAGCCCACAATCTGACTCTCATTCGAAACATGGAGATTTCAAAACATGTTAGGAAGTAATGACAGGTTAAAACATTAGCTTCTTGTCACTTTTGTTTCTTGATAATGAAAAGCTATACGTGAATCATTGACTAAGATGTAATTAAAATCTTAGTTATAAAATTAGGTTCTACTCCACGGATGAATCAATCATGTGACCGGTCCGAATAAATTATTGAATCGATCGTGCAATTGAATTGGTATAAACCAGATTAGATCAGGTTAAATTAGTGTGAACCAAATTCAGGTTCAGTTTTGCAAAATATTACAAAATTTAGTGGGTGAAATTTGAACTTATAACGTAATAATTAACTCTAATAACATCACCTATTGCGCCCTATCAATATGTTAGTTATAATGTTGTATTGTACACACACACACAGAAAATTCAGTCAGTTTGTCAACGACTCATTAGTTGAATTAATAATTCAATGTCTTGATCAAGTCAATGACCAAATCAAATTTTATTACACTAATTAAAACATAGAAAACGCTTTGAACATCAAAATGAAAATTGATAAATGATGATGATTATGAACATGACCGGTTTCATAGTCTCAATATTGTGGCTCTATTAAAAGCCACCTGCTCATCTACGAGGTTAATTAAGCTTGGATATCTATTTTACCATGATTTAAATTGGAGGTCCATAACCGAAGACTTTTCATTGACTTCTATCAATTGAGCTAACACTTATTGACAAAACTTGCTTATACATATTATGAAAATGTTCCTCTAAAGTAAAATTGTATTTAAAAGAAGTAAGAATATATATTCTTAAAATTATAGTTGATTAAATATCACAATATTCTTATTGTACTTTATGAAACAAGAATTGGTATTCTCCATTACACATTTGTAATTTGCAATAACATAAAGCTTACCTTTTTATACATTATGAAATAATTTTCCACTATTTATTAAAAAAAATGTCATTTTTTAAAATCCTGTATACACAAAACAAACATTTGCTTTCATGTATACACTCGTCTTGTTATTGGAAGTAAAAAAGAAAGAAAGAAAAACTACATAAAAAAGGTTCAGTAAAGAAGAAAAATGTAATGTAGAAACATTCAATTAAATAAAAGCATGATTAGCTTTTAATTTATTCTCAGTAGTGTTCTGTTGATGGAAAAAATAATGTTCTTTGCAATTATTTGTCTATAAAGTCCCTTTTTCTTCATCTGCTTTACGCATTGTTAGGTCATTTGCTTTACGCCCTGTCATCACTCATTACCTTCTCTATATCTTAGGTCAGGTTGTTATATGAATTGTTTCACATATATTAAGGGTGACAATTACATCTGTTTATTCACCAAACATCCATTTTCACCATGCATAAATTTAACCTGTCTGTCCAATTATAACAGTAAAACTTGTTGGATTATATGAATCGAATTAACAATTATTATTGGATCATCCATCATATTTCTTCAACTAATATCAAACTATTGGATCAACGATATAGAAACACATATTTCAAGTGCTTCTCAAAACAGTCCTTATAAGAATTTTTATTTAAAAAATATTATTAAACACGTCAAAAAGGTACAAAAAAGTAATATATTATTAAATGGATAGGTTTGATGCCCAACATGAAAAATTATTGTCGAATAGATCAGATTTTTTGGTAAATGTATTTTATAACTATTCATTTGAATCCAGCTCAAATTTTATTCAAGCCATCCATTTTACACCTTTGATATATGCGTAACAAGATTGATAGGAGAGAAAACATATGGACGAACAATTATTATATGATCATGTAATCTGTACATATACATCAAATGAAAACTGTGACCCCCTATGTCCCTTTCTCATGATCATCTACAACAATCTCAAAAAGACTATGGCTCACATCACATCACTCTTGCCTAGGAAATCTACAAACATTTCTCACGGTTCACAAAAAACATAGGGGTGCACCCAACTTTAAGAAGGCAATGAATTCATTACATTTCTGCATTATCCCCCACTTGGCTTAGAGATCAACAAAAGCATGCCACACAACTATGAACTTCCAATGGTATCCACCCTATCAATGACATCCAAGGCCTTCATTCGGTCAATATCAAAATCAATGACAGGAACAGAAGGTAGCCTCCTTGTAGAGAATATATCATTTTTACTTTCACTGATTGGAGAATGACTACTACTCTTGCTTAGTCTATGATGTTTACTCAACCTTGTTTTGGCAGTGTCAAATTCCTGGCTCTTACTAATGCCTGGTGTTAGTTTCCTCTTGCCGACATCTCGAAGCATTTGTTGATCTTCTACTGTTAACATGGGAGAAGAAGAGCAGGCTTTGTGTGTACATAAATGTCCTGTCTTTTGGTTTGGAGAACGAATAGGCGATTTGATGGGAGACCTTATTCCTCCATTACCAACTCTCACTTGGCTGACTAGATGATGAAGCCAGATAACCAGTTCAAGGATGTAAGCTTCTGTTTTGTCTTTATCAGCATGGTGTAGTGTTTCAATTCTCAACAAGTCTGTCTGGCCTGCAGGTTTTCGGTTGACCTCAGACCTGCACAAACTTGCATTAGAAAATATAAGTGGAGCATGAGCATAGAGGTAATAAATCTATCATTCTTTACTCACCCTGTATTTGCCCATTCTCCAACCCATCCAAAGCCATGATGAGCTCTGAATTAGACCAATTGAAAAAGAGATAATTAAATTTCAGAACAGAATGTATAATGGTTAATGGTCGTTAAATGAAATAGAACACATGAAAAGTAATAGTAAGATGACTAAAGCAAACTCTATATGAATGATAGGCATTGGTGTTTATTGACCATAATGAAAAGCAAATTTAAACAAATGTGTTGTGTCAAATGCAATATTTAAGGATTTTCAGAATTGCTGAGTAAGGGCTAGCAAACATACTTCGTTGTGTTGGTGGCAATAGGAACGAGCCACTGCAATGTTTTCTCCATTTCAGCTTTGATTTGTGGGACAGTAAGCTGCAATAATATTTCCTTCATTTCAGATTTGGATTTAAAAATTTGGTCACAATCAATATTAGCAATGGAGCATAATCTCAGTACAACTGCTTCGGCAGAAAAGTTAATAAAACCATTAAATGATGGAAATGGGCCAGTCATTAACAAGCATTTACTGAATTTAAAAAAAAATCTTTATTGTCTTGTATTGGTTCTAAATAGTAGTACAGACATAAAATGAAAATTCTAAGGCAAACAATAAATTTTTTAAGAGTATATTTCTAAATGAAAAATTCAAGGGAAACATGTTAATTAATAAACCACTCAAGTACTTATGGCATGCATACCCAGCTAATAAAATGTATGATGGAAATGGGATATGCACCTCTTCTTTAACCTGAAATGACTGTAACCTTGAGCGCAATGCTGATTTCACGTTAGGCGGTAGCCCTTGATACAAGGCATCCCTTGTATTAGGAGGCACAGAACTTGATCGAGATACCTGATTAAACTAAAATGTCAACTCAGGCTATCTTCACAATTGTCTTACTATCATTTTTTCAGATGCAAAACAGTGCAGCTGTGACCACTTGTGTGTCCTCTACCAATTGTGAGTAAGATTATTCATTGAAAATAAATAAATAAAAATATTATCAAACTATTATATAGATTTTGTTTTCTCCTTTTACAACTGATCATTATTCTTAAGTGAAAAGTAATGTTAGCTAGCCAATAAAATAAATGCAAAAATTATCAATAAGCAAAATGAAAATAAACTTTGCATAGCCGTAATCATTACACATTGTGTGTTCTTTTATCTTGATCAGTCTTAATAATGTCAGAATCAGATTACTCAGAATGCCCAAATCAAAATTAAGCCAGCCAACAAATAAAGATACAGTGTCACTGGTGAACACGAAACAAGTTTTCAAAAGGACCAGGGTTATAAATAGAAAACATCAGTAGAAAGAAGGGAGAGGTGAAAATGAAGACAGCAACTAAATGGATTCTACAACATCAAGATTTGGTCAGAAAACCTCAAAAGCATTTTATTTTTCTCTTTTTTATATTTTTTCCTTGATTGTCAATCATTTCTTTGAGCAGGGGTGGTCAATAAGTAAACTATGATCTTATTCGTGCAATGTAAGACAGGTTTTTATAAGCAATATTTTGGAGTCAATTATTTAAACGAAAATTAGCGCAGCTTATATAAGCAACCCTATTCCTCAGCATGTTAGGTTAAGTAACCTCTAAAAAGTAGCACAGCCAAGAAATAGTGACCCAAAGAATTAAATATAAAATTCTCAATATTTTAATCTTAATATTGACAAAAGAAGAAGAAGTGAGCAGATATTCATAGAGGGTTAGATAGAAGTGGAATTTGAACTACTCAAGATTTTGGTGAATGGTTTCATTTCAAGGACGCTCTGAAAAAAACAAGTAGAACAATTGATAACACCACATCCCCAACATTGCCATTAAAGAGCCGAGTTTGAGGTGAAAAGTTCTCTAACATGCTATTTGTTTGTGTAAATGCTTTTGCTTCCCTGGCCCTGCTTTTCTTTCCCCTTCTCCATATTTTAATTTTTAATAACAATTGGACACGTAGGAAATAAGAAACAACATTACAACACCGTGTTTTTAACAGAGACTAAGAAATATAATTTGAACGTCCAAGACAAAAAAAAAAAACCTATACATTATGTAATTTAAGTAAAATCTTTAACTCACTAGAGTATCAATTTGAGTGATAATGTTTGCATAATGCAAAGCAAGACCAGCCGATCCCAACTTATGGTTGCCTTGAGAATCTTTCACTTGCTTATCAATATCTGCAAGGTTGTAGAGGAAAACAGGTAGAGAAGGACACATTTTATGTATCTGGCATCTTTAACAACAGCATACAATGGTTGACATCTCGTCAGGAAAAAGAAAGGAACAACAATTAAATTAAGAATAAAGAAAAAAAAAAGTCAGGACAAGACAAGATGAATGTACCAAAAAAATCATTTACGATAAATTTTCTTAAAACATTACGGGATGCAATTGTTATTTATATAAAAAATTGAAAGTACATGAACTTTGCAATTATATTATAACCATCAATGAATGAGCGCTGTTACCCAGTGCTGAAGATTATATCCATAATTTTATGTCATAATGATTGCAAATAGTTTCTTTCATCAATAAATAGAATACTCTTTCTACAAACAGACTCCAGGCAGTTTGACAAATACAATCCTGTGAAATAACCACTAGATATGTTCCTCCTCCTTTATTATACATACACAGGGAACAAAAAATAAAACATATACAGGCCCTTAACTAAACATAATCAACAATCTTTGCAATTCTCAAAAGCATACCAGCACTACCAAATGCTTCATGTATCTCCAAGTATAGAAAATGGACGATATCTACAAGTTTTTCCATTACCTGCAGATACAACAATCAAAGTTAATATTTGTATGATAAGAAAAATGCTTTAGAAAAAGAGGCTGAAAAGAATTAGAAATAGAAATGATATTAGGAGAAGGAAAGGGAAAGTACAACTCGGGGAAAGGAATGTTAAGTAAACTGAAACAATAAAAAAGACACTAAACATAATTCAAGGATTCCAGAAATAACACTTTTCGGATGCTAAATCACCAACAAAAAAGACTAAAATCTCTAAAAAATCCTACATTTAAATTTGAACTTCTTTTATAATAGACCTTTTCCTACATTCACTTATAAAAATATATAGAAATAATACTGTCTTCTTACCTCTTCCAAAATCTTGGACCATAGTGATTTTTTCTTCAAATTTCTTACATGCTTCTTTTGACTCTTCAGTTCTGCTCTCAAAATTGCAAGGCTGTCTCCTATACATTTTGTAAACATTATCACTTAAAAATATGAATACTCATTGCAGTAATAAATACTACCATATTTATAACATTCTTTCCCCAAATTGTAAATACTTGGTCAGATTTGGACATCTGGACAAAGATTTATGCTCCAGAGATAGGGCTTATAACATACTGAACTTATAAAGATAAATAGAAAACTGATCAATTGTATAAAAGGTTATTTACACCATGCTTTCCAAATTTGTTGTTCACGTTGAAAAAATAAAAATAATACACAATAGGAGGAAAGAATATCATGCTAATTCTTTAACAAATGCTTGATCTTCTATCCCTCTATACCAAAGAGCCTGTAGAGTTTAGAGGGTTTGGGGGGAACACGCAGTATAAAACTTAGAGGTGGTGTGCGTGCAGTTGGGAGTGGAATGCTCACATTTTCAAGAGTTATTCATTATCATTACTACTGTTATGGAAAAATAGTTCTTTTGTAATGTGCCCATTGCTTTTTCAAGAGAATTGAACTCTCAGATACGAAGAAGGATTCAGGGGATTTATAGCACTGATGAGATTATTTGTTTATGTTTTCTTTTTATTGTCACTGTAAAGGAGGAACTTGTTGCTTGTACCCTGTCTTTCTTTATTCTCTAATAATCTTTTCTTTCTTTCATAGATAAAGAGTAAAGACAGAGTTTACAACAACTGCAAACTTGATGATCAACATATATTTTTGGTGCAAAACTACCATAAGCAAGATATCAACTTCAAACAGAATAACTATTTTCAAATACACAATACAATAACGTGGGCAGTGGGACTTAATGACACTTGTATAACAGTAAATCCAGGCCAATATGTACCTCTTTGGGTGGCATTTGAATTGTCTTCTTCTTGTAGCTTCCGCCGATAATCTTGATCAAATCTGTCTAAGGCATGCAATTCATGATATAATTCCTGCACTCAAAGAAAAATGTTAAACTAATTTAAGTCAGGTCTTAACAAAATCAGCAGTTCAGATCAATATTTAATCTATAAAAAAAAATAAAAATCAAACTTTTACATCTTCTGTGCACTCCCAAGTTAAAATATTTCTCTCTTTGTTGCTTTCTGTTTTGTTCTTTAATTAACGAGGACTCCTTACCCTCCCTTCTCTTTGTAATTTATTCTCTTGATTAATGAATTTCTTTTTATCAAGAGAATATAGTAAAATAAAATCATCTTCCAGAAGCTCGCTTGCTGTTGTTATTAGCTCTAATGCTATCCAGGGACATAACTTAAAAAATGTAATTAAAAATCATGTAACTAAAAAATATTAAATTGTTAAGTTATGTAACCACAAATGAACATTGAGATCCAACAAATAGCATGGCTGCTGTACTAGGTTTTCATATACACAAATGTGAGTGGGTGTGTGTGCTTGTGTTTGTTGAATTCAAAGATAAAAAGTGAAATGAAAAGCTACATCTGTGTAGCGTGAGGTATATGGTTGTTCTAAGGATAAAAGCTGAAAAGCTTTTATTTCTAAGGATAATTTCTTATCCCACAAATGAGTAATAAAATAATTTGTTCCAATCCAAAAACTAAGCGACTCATAAGACAATGTAGATACTTTTTACAGATACCATACGAAACATATTTTTACCTCCAATTCCAACTATGTGGATCACTACATAACTCAATTGTCCATATCTGATTCATGATTAACTTTTCACATCAAACTTTTTTTTCATAATAAAAGAAGAATGTTCCCAAGTTGGAAAACAAATTTAGATATCAAGCTTGAAATAAATTATATATAAGTCTTCAAAATTATTGATGTTGCTTAAGATGCAGAAGAATCAACCATGACTGAAGTGCATGACCGATTAAAAAACAGCTGCAAATTTCATAGAGGAAAGAAATCTGTAAATTATAAAAATGTAAAACTCAGAAAGCACAGGAAAAAGGGTGAGACATCAAGTAGTATCAGACTCTTTTAGTAATTTCAACAAGTTGTACAACTGTAAAGATATCTAAGATTAAAGCTTCAGTTATAAAATGATAAAGTGGAAATACACTAAATAGAAACTAGCAATCTCAGAAATGAAAAGCTTATATCTAATTAAAGATCAAGGCACTGACAGTAAATTAGTGAATCTTTTCAAGTTGCCAGTAACTGCCTGCAGCAAAAAGGCCATTGAACCAACTAAATACTATTTGATCAGCAAGCAATTAAGGCATTTCTTCATATAATTGTAATTTTATTTTTAGTACGATGACAGCTATACAAGCGAGGATGTCCAAAAAAGGTAAAAAGGGTGATAAAAGAATTTCAAACTAGAACCAGAACATAATTTTCCCTGAGTTTTGCGCAGGCTGTAAGTTAACCATATTGCATGGTTATTATATGATACTCAAATATGCAAATCAATGAAGAAGATACAAAGTGCCATGAGTTCAGCATACAAATCTGAGGAAAATGTCAGGCATATGAACTGTTTCCTTTTAAGAGGCCTACTCACAGCTGTATATTGAACAAAGGTCATTAGTTGTTGCATCACCATTTCTGCCTCCTCTTTCAATTGCTTTTGCGGTGTAAGCTCTGAACCTAACCTAAACATCCATAACTAACACAACATTAGATGTTACAAGAAAAAATATATCGAAAGATGAAATCCATTCAGCTAGATTACTTCTCAAAAAATACAAGGTAATATTAAATCAATTCAACTACAATTACTTCTCAAAATAGCGATCCAGGTTGTGCCACTGAGGATCTTTACAACGATTTCCAAAACGCACAACTTCACCAGAAAATATTTTCAACTCTTCTCTGCCAAAACAGTACAAGATAGTGAAACTTTAAGTGTAGTAGTAGCTAAAGAAAATAAGCACCAAATAAAAGGTAGAATGCTACTAAGTGGATCCTGAAAATATTAATGATACTACCTCTTGTCTGCTGCAGCAATTCTTAGGAGTTCATCCATATCTCTGGATATTAAATTTTGCACTCCTTCAGATGGTAGAACCACCTCTTTTAAATGTCTGATGTTCTCTTTTGAAAGAGATTGCATCAGATTGGCACCCTTTACAATTGTGTTTGCAACTTCGAAGGCCAAAATTGAAATTTTATTTCCTTTTGTTGTCACACCTGATGTAAAACCACTACTGAGGTTCAAATTTGTCATACTACTACCTAGTGTGTCCAAAACTTCTACTGCCTTGCCAAGCCCAGCTGTACCAGCCCTGCCCAAAAGTGAACTGACTTCTGAAACCTGTAATACACCAAAAGATAAGACAAAAAGACAATCTAATCTAATCTAAGAGACAAAGACCACCATTTTGTTGGGGAGTATAGAGTCATTGACACACATGAATTCATGAACAATACCATGCTCTTTAATAAATTTAGAGAAATTTAGGTTCATATACTCTTTTCCCATTATTATAAAACAAAAGCTTTGTGGATTTTCCAAATTTTGCATGATGATGGAATCCTCATCAACCTATCTCGAACTAGGCTTCTTCTCAAGACCAATCCCCTGAATACAGTCCAATTTTCTATGACCCTTAAGGGGTGGTACATATGACATGGGACCACTATAGATAATTTTTTCCATCAAGGCAATAAGTAGGATGCAAGATTATAGGGTCATTAGGATTTAAAGAAGTTGCTAGCATGGAACTACATTGTACAGTGGAAGTTGGAGAGGTGGGCTGCCCAATGATCAAGATGGTACTCATGGTAGGCTCAATATCAGCAATGTCAAATTCTAACAGAGACTACAACCGTGTCAAATTATAAATAGAAACTAAGGATGACAGTGAGTGCCTACAAAAGCACCAACACAATGACAGTGATTTGAGTCTCTAACACTAGAACAGAACTAGGGGATGCTAACAAGCAGGCAAGGGCAGTCGGCAAGCTGAACAGATTTCAGTCAGATGATGATGCTGGCAAGGTGTTGTGCATGTGGAAGGGCATGGCATGTTCACTGAAAATAGCATTCTAGCAGGTGTCTAAGGAAGGCTGGGAACATGAGGGATAATTGTTAAGATGTCCTACATTGGTTAGAAATAGAGCTAGAATACTCCTTAGAAGGGTTAGGACAGTCTTCTTCCTATGAGCTAGCTTTTAGGAGTGAGTTAGGCCCAAATTTCTTAATATAGTATCAGAACCTATTCAATTTGAATGTTGGACTATCCATAGATGTTCAGTCATGTTGGGTCCACCCATGCAGATGTCTAATCCTGTAAATTTCACGCGTCAGATGTCCAATTCTGAGCGTAAAGAGTGTATGTTAAGATGTCTTACATTGGTTAGGAATAGAGCTAGAATACTCCTCCTAAGGGTTAGGATAGTCTTCCTCCAATGAGTTAACTTTTGGGAGTGAGTTATACCCAAGTTTTTTAACAATAATGACTAGTGAAAAAGGTTTGGTACATGTGACTCATCAATGATGAAGGTTGATATCACTGAAAATGAGGCTCCTTGATTGTGAGATCTGAAAATTCTGAACCAACTGGAAGGAATTAGGCCCTGTCTACTTTGAGAAAATAAGTTTTTATTTTGTTTTCACTTTTCACATTGTTTTCTTCTTGGTTTGTTTTTAAAGATTTGTATAGAAACCAGCTAAAACAATAGAAAGGTAGCATTGTTTCCTATATAAGTCTATGAAAACAAAAGGCAAAATGAAAACAAGATGACATTTTTGTAATGAAAAGCAAAAAACTGAATATGTAAACAAAAATTTTTTTTTCAAACCAAGAAAACCTTAATATTCTAAATGTTAGTGCTTGTTTTGTTTGTAGCTTTACATTGCATAGGCTTATGCGGAGCAATATTAAAGGAAGCAAATGTGTCCTGACAAAATAAAGCAACAAATCTGTACAGATAAAAAATGGAAACATTGTGTCCTAAAATAGTACTATTTAGAAAAACACTACATGCTAGATTTTCATTCTTCTGAGGATAAAACAAGATTTTACTATAAGAGAGAGTACAAAGAGGGAGGATAAGGTACCCGCTCACTTTGCAAAACCAATAAAGAAAGCTCTCACAACAAGTCATAAGATTTCATCAAGAAGGAGGCCAAGAACATAATACCAAACAAATTGTGAAGACTGAGATTGCTATCTAGAAACTATAGCACATATAGTAACCATAGACAGCCAACACCAGCTAAAAAAAATCCACCTATTGCTCCCAATCAAGGAAAACAGCATATTCCACAGCTTCCAAGGATGTCAGAGTATAAAATCAAATGACTACAACCTTCACATCTGGAGGAAAATATTTACATTCATCACATCATGTTTCATAGTTCAAACAGATACCTTCACACAGATTGTGCAGTTCCCAGTGAATTTAATTGAAGTGTGTTATCATGAGCTTCAACCTAATAGCTTAAGCTTTTGGGGAGATAATCTTGATATAGTATCATAGCCTCTATAACTAAGTGTTCACTTGATACCCTTGATGTCCCCATTCCTCTAAATAAAGTCAAACTGGTGTGTTGGACACTTGGACGTGCAAAAACAATTCATAGGCTCCCACTTAATAGCTTAAGCTTTTGGAAGACTTGGTCTTTGACAGAGTGGTACGTATACACTTTTAAGGATTGTCCCTTTGTAACTGAATTTGCTTTGAGATCATGTTATTGGCTTCAGTCAGGTACTCTACCCATGGTTTTTTCAAGAGAGTTTCCATTTGTAATACGCAGACAGTTTGTTGCATACTTTTCTCCTTTATTATATATATTTTCAAATAATGTCTCTCCTCCCCCCTCCCCCAAATGTTCTTTCCCTCTTTTCTATCTAATAAAATTACTATTTTTATTAGAAAATACAGCTTGGTTAATATTTGCACAAAAACATTTTTTCAGCCAGAAGCATCTTTGCAGCATTTTGATTATAAGTTATTCCGAATTCAAAATAAGCCAATCCAAACACACAAGGACAGAAAGATCAAACACGAGAAGGTTAACTCAACTTAACAGCAGCTTGCTTGGATCTAGATTTATTTGATAAAGCCCTGGACAAGCGAGGGATCCCATCATTGATATCATCCACACTCGGCCCATATGAAACCTTTTCCAGTCCAGTAAACGAAAACGATTCTCGTTGATGCTTATCGAAGTCGTCGTCGTCATCATCAGGAGGCAGAGTTGAATTGCTATTTATATTGCCCGGAAGTTCAATAGACTGATAAGCCATTCCAGGTTCATTATTGGCATGACCATTAGCATGCCTCGAGCTTTCACTAAGGGCATTATCTACAGCTACACCATCTACAGTAGCTTTCCATGACCTCGAGCAAATGCCACCCATATTATGCTCAATTGCTTGTTACACAATGTCCATACAACACACCCTATAACTTGAAGAAAACCTCAACACACTGCCTTCAATTCACAGGAATGCTATAGTCAAAGCACAAATTTTGATTATACCAATTCTGATCACCCTTACAGCTCCAGTCCATCTGAATTAAAAAATTAATTAATTAATAACCCACACAAAAAAATCCCAAGATAAAACGCGCGCGCACACACAAGGAACCAGAAAAGAAAACAACACCAGCAACATCCCGTGGAAAATCAGAGATACCAATTAAGTAATTTGATTAAAAATGGGTCTTTTTTTCAAGAAAACAAGGAACCCCTCCATGAATCAAAGCTATTCTACAAAACCCAACAGAGTTATGGATCCAAATTGGTAGTTGGTAGGTAGAGAGGTACCAGAAGCAGAGATCTGTGAGAAGTTGCATGTGTGACATTCTGACAGAAAAAGCAAAAGGGCTGCAAGAAGAGAAGATGAATGGCAATGGAGGGTCAAAGGGATCGGAGAGAACCACACATAGCAGTTGAATGAGTTCTCTCTCTCTCTCTCTATCACACACACACACACACACACACACGTTCCCTTGCTCGGAACTGAAACAGGAACTGCTGGCACACGCAACTCAAAGGCTGAGAAGCAGAATCTTCACTTGTCTTTCTCTCTCCACTCTCTCGTGTTGTTCTATTTTCAGCGATGGTCAAAACGCACAGAGAGCGCACACACAACAAAACACAACACAGCACAGCACAACCCCACAACTACTCACTCACACGCCAATTAAGGTTGTTTTTGACTGTGGTGAAATATGTTTTTCCACTCCCCCAACTACAACTACTAATGCTACCTTTTCTTCTCCAAATGACAAGAATCGCCTTTGTAATGAAAACTATTTATTGTGATAGGTGAGACCTTTTTTAATTTAAGGATTAGTATAAGACAAAATTGTCCATTTTCAAAATCACGTGTCACATATTATGCACCAAATCTTTCAGAAAACATGCTAATCATATTAGTTAACTTTTTAAATTAATGTTTAAGGATGCATAAAAAAATTAATAAATAAAATTTATATTAAAAATTACAATATTTAATAAATAATAAATATTTTTTGGTGTTTTTGTAAATATTGTTGAATGAATAGTTTAAGTACGGGTCTAGTATAACAAAAATAAATTTAAGAAAATTATTTCATTGATAATAAAAACTAAAATAAGAGTATTTATATTTAAAAATCTCATTAATTAATTTAATCAATGAACTATTATTTTAATTATAGTATATAAATGTTTTTTATACTTAATATTGATTAAAGAAATTTGAGTGTGGATTTTAAAGAAATTAATTTTTTTAATTAGATAAATAATTAAAAATAATTATAGAGTTAAGTATAAAAGTTTACAAGATATCTGGCATAGAAATAAAAAATATATCTCAATATGAAAAATAAAAACAAAAAAATATTTTATATTTAAGAGTAAAAGCTTAAATTTTAACATAAAATTTGCTTTCTTGAATTATTTAATCAATTTAAATGGTAGAAAATTTCTTAAAATTCTACCTGGTTTTGGCTTCACTTGGAGTTTTATTTTTTTTTTTTTAGAAACTAATTGTTTCACATTCTATTTTAAAACGTGAAATAAAAAAAAGGTCAATTGCAAATAAAAAAAATGAGAGAAAAGGTTAAGAAAACATAATGAAAATGTGATAGAAAAAACAGATATAAAAATTATGTTAATTTTTTTGTCACTTGGTATTAGATTTATTTTATGCCCAAATTCTGGTTTTTATATAAAAAAAATGCTTCTGTAGTAATTTATTTAGGTCTCAATGGTTCATCTATGAAACAATTTTCCTCCAACCCCAAAATTACCTAAATTTGAAGTCCATAAATATATTTCTATTAAAATAATAATATTTTGGTTTAGAATAATAGTTATTTTTTATAAAAGGTAAATTTGTTTGAATTAGAATCATCACAACGTGATAAAATTATTATTTTTTCAATATAAATGTTTTTATACATAAAATTAAATTTTATAACTTTTCTTAAAAGGACTTAAACATTATAACTAATTTGAATTATATTATGCATTCGATTCAATCTCAAATTCTTGATTTGGTGTATGTTTAGTTTATCGTCTATAAATTTGAGTTTAAATAAATTTAATCTTGTAGTGTTTAAAAGTAAGATTAAAGTAATATAATTTATATTTAGAAAAATTTTAAAAGTAAATTCATATTAAAAATTAATATAATTTGTTTAAATCAACACAAAATTATCATTAATCATGGTAGTTCTAACATCAATTTAAAGGTAAAAGTAATTTTAATAAAAAAATAGCCAAACATTAAAATTTTCTGTATAATCATATTATAATAAAGTATACGTAATTATGTCAAATTTTAACAAATTTTAAAATGCACTTAAGTTTTTCATTGTGTAAACCACGTTATGATTTCTCTTACTCTGAGCACTTCAACTAGTATATATGACAATGTACTAACAACTTATCTCGATACTTTTTTTCAGAGGAAACATGGTGAAACTTCAAGGAAATTTCTTACGGATTGATGAGAGAACAAAACCAAGAAAGGAAGAAGAAAAATATTTCTCAATTATTTGCTCTGAACATGGAGTGTTATTCCTACCTCAGCGATCTATTCTCCATGTGAAGTTGCCCTTGTCAGTATGTTAATTTCTAAAATGGCTTCAGATTTCTCTTCAGATTGCCCTTGTTTATTTTTGTATTGAAAAGTTAATTACCATATTATTTAATAATTAACGTCTATATAGATTTAATGTAAGATTATAAATGAGATTAAATTAATTAAAATTTCTAAATGCATTTAATAGTTTCCAAATGAATTCTATTGAAATCAATCTTATCTAACTTTAAAACAAACTATTATGGATGTTATTATTTCTTTATACATTTTTTTGTCCTATCTACCCATTGACACCCAACAATTATTTGTAATCTATTAGATAGGCCATGTTAAAAGATTTCAGAGGAGATAATTAACAATCACTTAGAAGTTTCAGAATTTGTTTGAACTTGTTACTTTGTTTGGAATGACTTATTTTAAAAGAATAAATACTTTTTTATCAGGTTCTAACAACTTTTTTAAAAGAAAAAGTCATTTTTTCATTTAATTTTTTTTTACAATGATAATAATTTTTTTCTTGTATATATATTTTTAATTTTACCAAAATATAAAAATATAAAAATGCGTACTCATGCAATGGCCAAGAGGGGAGGTTAAGAAAAAGAAAAATAACAACAGGAGGATAATGAATTTCAATTATTTTTTGAGTCTTTCAGTCTTTCAATAAAATTTTAATATTTTTTTGACGTATATTTAACACACAATAAAATTTTTTATTAAAAATTCCAAGATATTATAGGATTCAATGCATAAATATTTAATAAAAAAATTATTATTTATTAATTTCTTAACAATGTGTTCTTAAATACATTTTAAGAAAAACTGAAATTCATTATATAATAAAAAAGGATGGTGATATTTGTTAGCATTTCCCAGCGTGCAATTATATACGTTAAAGTTTCAGCGAAATCCACGAAATCTCCATAGTCGTAATGCTTCAAACTGAGTTGCTGGGAGACATGAAGCATTATTGGAGCCAAATAGAACATGAAACGATTGAAAGTTGGCTTCAAATGAGGCAAACAGCTGAACACCCTTTGGCGCATCCCACAAGAAGTAATTCATCAAGCTAGAAAAAGGAACAAAGATAGAGTGGAATTAAAGAATGCAGAAAACGGACATATAAATTATAATATTTGAATAACTACAAAGGGAACAAAAGTAAACTACGTACCCTTCTGCTCTTATTACTACCGAGACACAAGATCTTGCAGTTGATCTATGACAGCTTTAGAACATAAAATGTATTATTGATCCTGATCAATTGCAGAAAGAGTCACCAAAGAGTAAAAATGGTAAGTATACAAAAGAATAGCAAGTATATAGAAGAAAAGACAGGAACAAAAACTGTAAGAAAACATGACCAAGAACATGATTAAGACATAGCAAGAGCAAGAATAAGAACAAGAAAACAAGACCAAGAACCAGATCAAGAACAAAAGCATGAATGAGAGCGAGACCGAGACCGAGACCGAGACCGAGACTAAGACAAAAACAAGACCAATACCAAAACCAAGACCAAGAACGAGAGCAAGACTAGACCCACAAGAAAACAAGATCAAGAACAAGAACACTAATGAGAGCAAGACCAAGAACAAGGTCTATAAGAAAACAAGACCAAGAGCACAAGACCAAGACTGAAAACAAAAGAACAAGACAAAGATCGGGAACAAAATGCCATAACAAGATGAAGACCAAGAAAACAAGACCAAGAGAAAGAACAAAATAAGACCAAATTCTGTGAAATAAGACAAAGATCGGGAACAAAATAAGACCAAGAACAAGAGAACATAACCAAGAACACAAGAACAAGACCTACAAGAAGTTCAAATAGTAACTAGTAAGTATATAGAAAAATTACGTATCCAAAGAAATAAAAGAACAAGATAAAGATCAAGTTCAAGACCAAGACCAAGTTCAAACCTACAAATAGTCCAAATATTAGTGTTCAATGAAGGCGGGTACATTTACATGAATGAAAGTACAACAATAAAAAAGTCTTTTTGTTAACAAAGATCCTGATTCATATTATAGTATTTAATAACTTAACAATAACTTAAAGAAAAGAGAAAATATGTCAATATTTAAATTTATAGACTCCTAATCTGAGGTTTTGAAAAATTTCAGCATGTCCAAGCATAAAAATTGAAATTAACTAAAATTAAACAATAACATTTGATAGAGATATAATGTGTTAGTCGGAAATTAGATGGAACCAAACAACACAACCCTAGTCTTTTACAAAGCATAAGAACCTCCTTGGCACCAACACCCCAAATTATATGGGCTTTTGCATGTATTTATATATATAGTTAAAAGATAAGATAAACGTAAAAAATATATTTATAATACATACATACCATTTCAACCAGAGTTAACCACTGAATCATGAAAACATTGCTTATTAGAGTTAATTTTTTTCATTAAAAGTTATAATTTTACTTTTGCTTGACAATGATAATATTTTTTTCCTTTATTTTTTCAATGTTCTAATTTTACCGAAATATAAAACGCTTTCCCATTCATTGGCCGAGAAATTTGTTCAATTTCTGACATTGGCTCAATTTATAAGCTCACGTGAAGTGGGGTTATTCCCTTCAGTAGAATGCAATCATTGCTATACACTTAATCCTATCGTATTATTCATCACAGCAAAAAGAATGAAAGTTAAGAAAAAGGAAAATAGTAACACGAGGACAATTGATTTTGATTATTGTAGTCATTATGCCTTTCAGTTCCCCAATAGAATTCTAATAATATAATGAAAAGGACGCTGATATTTGTTAGCTTTCCCCTGCCTGCAATTATACATGAAAGGTTCAGAATAACTAAGTTCGGTGATGAAATTCATAAAATCTTCATAATGCTAATGTTTCAGACCCAGCCGCCGGGAGACACGGGCATTGCAGGAACCAAATTAAAGATCGAAGAATTGAAAGTTAGCTTCAAAATGAGGCAAGCTGCTTCACATCCTTTGGCCCAGCACTGAATTTACATTACACAAGACAGCAGTTCATCAAGCTAGCAAAAGAATAATTTCAACAAGGATATAATATAATTAAAAAATACAGAAAACAGACACAAATTAATAAAAGAACTGCAGGAGCTGAACTATTTATTATATTTGAAAAATTACAAAGGGTACAAAGAAAATTACATACCGTTCTACTCTTACTGCTGCTGAGATAGAAGGTCTTCCAGTTCATCTATGATGGCGTTATAGCAGAAAATGTATTGCGCCTGATTAATTACGGAAAGAGTCACCAAAGAGTTGAAATATTAAGTATACTGAAAATACAGAGTATATAGAAGAAGAGAAAAGAACAAGAACAAGAACAAGTTCAAATAGTTAAGGATGGTAAGTATACACAAGAAAAGAAAAGAAGAGACAAAGAACAGAGGATAAGAAAACAAGATCAAGACCAAGAACAACACAAGAACAAGAAAACAAGACCAAGACAAAAAAACAAGAACACCAAGAACAGATAATAAGGACAGAGGGAAGAAACACTGGGATAGAGAGCCAGAACAATATAATAGGCTCCTAACTGGGATCAATTCCAAGTGTCTGGTAAGCTGAGACCTCCTCAATCAAAAAGGCAACAAGGCCATAATATAATCTTCCTGGCTTTTTAATTTTTCTCTAGTTTGGAAACAGAAACTAGGAGGAGGAGCATCCATTCTGAGTAATAAATTATTCCTTTATGTCAACAGAAAGGGGTTGATAGATTCTCCACTAAAGGAGAACAGTGTTCTTTCAAACTTTTAATTGGTAAATATATCCTTGCCTAACTATCTAGCCTATCCTTGCAACAACCCACCTCCTTTACTATCAAACAAAGTATACCATTGACCTATCTCAGATTTCAAAAACTCTTACCCTTTTATTTAGATTAGAAACAGAACTTAACTAATAAGTGGTCCAACTAAATCTGTGGCATTTCATGCAAAATCAGTATATTCATTAATAAAATTTAAATATTAAATTAGCAAATCCTGATACCTGGGTCTGAACCATTCCAATACGTTGGGACCTGAACACAGCTACTGTGTTACTGATATCTACAGCAGACATATCACCAGTAAGTATTCTCTGAATCGTGTTGTGAATTGTGCAGTATGTTCCAGTTCTACCAATACCTGCACTGAGGAGAGAGTTTGTCTCAGGCATATAAGCATGTAATTTATTGTCATCTGCCAAAAAGTGAATAAACAAATGATAAGAAGGAATAAGATAAACCTGCAGTGCACCACTATTGGGCCAAGGTTTGAAGGCAAATGGTATAATCTTTTCAAAATTTCACGCACAGCAAAGGTATCTCCAGGAACTCCATGGTCGGGCCATTCAGGATACTGAATATGCAAAACAGATAATGGTGCATCTTCTACCTGCAACAATAAGTGAAGATTAATATGAACCAGAATGCTATACACCTCGGTGGTGGAGAGAAACTTTGAGTGCCTTCCAAAATCAAAATGAAAACTTTGAATTTTTTTTTTTATTTTTTTGATAGAGAGGGAAATTTCACTAGGGGGAAAATAGGATATCTTGCAATATTAAGAAAAACCAAAGATATATAGCTTGAGATGAAGGATATTTCAGGCTGATATGTATTGATGTAATTGCCTCATCAGTCTAACCCTTGATAAAAAATAAAATGAATAGTTTCATTCAAGTTCCTGTATCTACCTAACTCAACAGAAAATTACCACCTTATGGCCTCAGTGAAATATTATAAAGCAAACCAGACACGCACACCCAACTTCAATTGGTATGCAGAACATTTGAAAAACAGAAAGATGAAAGGTTATTTGGAAGGATTTTTATCTTAAGTACTTAACAGAAAAAGAAATGGGAGAATATACAACAAAAAAGGGTTTCTGATGTTATGGGAACACTGTTGAATAGTTGAGAATATAGAGATATATCATTAAGGAAATATATCAGGACTAGCATTAAAGTGCAAAGCATCTAATAATGTTTCCAATATCCAAGTTTTTAAAGTCGGCTCAGATGTATTATAGCAATACAATTATAAACAAAGGCAAAGAGTTAGATGAAATAATCAAGGTTTCAAGAAGAATGGGCCTCTCCCCAATCTCACCTCCTCCCATCAACAAATTATTGCCCATGTCAGAATGTAAAGAAAGATATACAATCACTACAAGTGGAAAATCATCTAACCTCTCTATGGTTGACCTCTAAATGGCGCAGCACCAGTGAAGTTGCAGTAGTTTTCACCCATTTACTGATAATAGAAATATTACCAACTTCTCTAGGTCCATCCTCAGCTTGATAATAATCTCCACACTTTACCATCTATAAAAAGTGTTAAAAAAAAAAGTAAGTGAAGAACAAAAAAGAGGAAGGAAAAATTATGAAAGCAAGCAGGGAAGTGCCAAGTGCCAAGTACCTTGTAATTATCAACCAACCTAGTAAGCATGACAATTGCAGGGCAGTGACACTGGATAATCATTTCCCAGAAATCCTCATAAGTATGGGGAAGTGGGCCTTGTGTGGCTATAAATTGGGATACATTTCCAGAGGAGGAGGTCTACGAACATTGAAGAGAACATGCAAGAGTTAAATCACACTAACAATTTAACCCCTCAAAGCACTTTCCACAATAGCTTTCTCAAACCACATCAAATAAACACACAAAATAAACGTATACCGATACAAAGCTTGCATTAATATACCCCAGTGCTGCAGGTCTATAATCTGTGCTTGATTTGAGAACAACCCTGTTCTTGTCAACTGAAACAAGGAATAACAAATTTCAATTTCCCCAACCCTGAATACAATGCAATAACACAATAAAGTGAATAAACCCTTCGCATGCAGCGCTACTATTAAATTTACACGGTAAAACGTCGGTGTATCGATTTTTGCTCAAATTGACAGCATCAAGAGCTACGGTGCATCTTCTCTTCATTTCGCTGGGCGTTATCCTATTCGCCTGAAACCACAACACAGCGATTTTCAATTTTGGTGTTCTGAGTTTTGATATAAAAATTGTGAATTAGGAGAAGCGATTACTGAACCTGCAAGTGATCGAACTCCTGAACGATCCTCTGAGGATTTCGTAGCTTCTCCTTCAACAAGGCGAGGGCCTGGGTACAGTGATTGAGCTGATCCGAAGTGAGGGGAATTCGAGAGGGATTATCGGGCGAGAAATTGAATTTCTCGGGAGAAAATGCAATGGAGGTAGTTGACGGAGGATTGCCGGCCATGACGGATCTCCGGCGGGGACGAGAGCGAGTGGAGACGAGGTTCCCCAGTTCCAGTGGCGTCGTGTTGAGTTGATTTCTATTCTGTGTTCACTGTGGATACGGAGTAGAAAGGACGCAACGCAATGAGTGAGTGCCTTTTAAGCCATTTGGTTTTAGTATTTAGGTTTTACAAGTGCTAATCGCAGGTTTATTATCGTATGTAAGAAAATTAGTATAATCAATTAATCATGATCAGCTAGCATTTAAGATAAAACAGCGTTCGTTCAGTTTGTAATAAAAATCTTCGTTCTATGTGAATTTTTATTATTGAGTTCGTAAATAATTTAAACTTTTAGATTAAAATAAATTTTGTTTCACTTGTACTTGCACTTTATAAGTTGATTGTGTCCTAATTGAATGTTACCCGGTTGAATCACAAATTATTATGTTAAACTAATTAAATCATCTTTCACAAGTCTCAGGAGTTCAATATTTGGTTTTAAAATGTTGCTTGCGTTAACTTGGCTTGATAGAAATTTAAGTAAATGTATAGAAAATTGATTTTTCTTCTCTTAAAATAACTTCCATGGACGTTTTATTTCACTAATTAAATTGAAAAGTTGCCCTGAATACATTAAGTCCATATATTTTTTTTAGGAAAGTTCAAAAAATGTGAGCCAATTCTTTTAATAAAGCGAAGCAAAATTTTGATCTCAGCAAGAATTACGAAGTAAAACATAAAGCTAGCATATATTCTATACCTAATAAGAAATCCATTAGAACAATTTTCAATACCTTTTTTCAATAATTTATTATTATTAAGTAAAATTCAGATTAGCCCTACTGTTAGGGGAGTAAGCTAATTTTATTTAATAGGACCCATGAGTTACCCACTAGATTATGATAATTATTTTCTTATAAATTTCTTATGACTTGAAACATGCTATATTAAGAATGGAGCAAAATCAAACCCAAACCACATGCCAAATGATCTAGAAACAATCCTTAAGCTTAAGGAAAAAATGAAAAAGGAAGGAGAAAATGCTATGGGTTGGGTCTAAACATGAAAAGGGATGAGATCATGTTCTCTGTGCTCCTTCTAAAGCCAAGGGAGAAACCTCCAAAGTCAACAAAGATGAAGATGAGGAGCAGGTTGGAGCTGATGAAGTTACAATAGTGGAGATAGCAGAGGCATTGCTATTGATTTTTGGGGCTGGTGGCTTCTCAATATCTGTCACACCTTCTAGCATTTGCACAACTTTGCCCATAGTTGGCCTCTGAGATGGCTGCTCCTGTATGCACCAAAAACATGCCAAAAGCACTCTTTTCACTTGTTCCAAGTTTATTTCTTGGCTAACCAATCTTCTGTCAATAACTCCCATGATGTTACCTTTCTCTAACTCTTCATAAGCCCAGATGGAGAACTTTTTTTTACTTGTTTCTTCTGAGATTTCAAAGTTCCTTCTACCACTCACTATCTCCAACAAAACCATACCATAACTGTAAACATCACATTTGGAATTTATGGGAAGATTTGCAAGCCATTCTGGAGCTAAATACCCTCTGGTTCCTCTCACACTTGTCAAGGTTCGGTGTCTATGATCCACTGGACCTAAGAGCTTTGCAAGGCCAAAATCTGAGACTTTTGCAATGTAATTCTCATCTAAAAGTATGTTTTCAGGTTTTACATCACAATGGACAATGCAGTTTCTACACTCCTCGTGAAGGTATGTCAAGCCCCTAGCGGCACCAAGGGCAATGTTGAATCTATAACCCCAGTTCAACAATTTTCCAGATTGTTGTTCTTCATTAACAAAAAGAAATTCATCAAGAGATCCATTTTTCATAAACTCATATACTAGAAGCCTGTGACGCCCTTCAGAGCAAAAACCAATCAGCCTCACTAAATTCAGATGATGAGTACTACTTATGGTAGAAACTTCCATCCTAAACTGTTTCTCTCCCTGCTCAATGCCCTCAAGTTGCTTGACTGCAACAACAGTTTGATTAGAAAGAATTCCTCTATAAACAGCACCAAATCCCCCATCACCAAGTTTCTCCTTGAACCCCTTTGTTGATCTTTGGAGCTCCTTATAAGAGAAATGGATTAGTGCACCAGAAGCATGCTCAAGAAGTGCATACTGAGCCACGAACCCTCCAATTCCCGAGCTGTTTCTGCAACACCACAACCATAAACCACCCTCAAAGACAAGGAAACCCAAAAGGGTACTCAAAACAACAAGAGCTACCACCCAAGCACGTACCCTCCACTTCTTCCCCTCTCCAGCATTCCCCAGAGAAGGTGCTGAATTTGGAGCCAATGGTCCACAAACCTTAATAAATGAAGTGCTAGGTAAAGCAGGATTATGGTATCCACTAATAAAATTAGTCGTCTTAATGTAACAAAGTCCAGTTCCATCTGACAAGGCAGTGGAAGCAAAACAAGCACTGGCTGCAAGACAATTTCCACTGCAAGCTGATATACCAACGAAAAACACCTCAGGATTGATCAAAAACTGAGGAGGGTATGTCAAGAATCGAGCATGTTCTACTTGCAACATAGCCACCTTCCCTACACAATCCTCAAGCCTCACCTTCCTCTTACACCCTTTCCTACTATCACTAGGATCAACCATCTCAAAATTCTTAGATAGACACCCACAAATGGGATTAGAATCGTTATAACTACAAACACCATTATTTCCACAGTAACCAAAAACCTCACATTGATCCTCAACAGCAACCCACCCCACATTCACACCCCCACTACCCCTCTTAGAGCTATAAATCCTCAAATTCCCATCACCATCCAACTTCAAAACCCTTAACACGTCACTCCCTTCATCATAATCACTACTAAACGCAACAACCAAAGGGGCACTCAAATTCTGATAAATAAGCTGCAAAATTCCCCTCGATTGCAACCCCAAAACAGGCGAACTCAAATTCACCATACTCATCGAAGAGTTCAAGCCTTGATCCCAATAAGGCACACTATCACTCCATTTGAGGGTAAGGTTCCCAGACTTAAGAACAGAAAATGAGTACAACCCAGAACGCAAAACCATACCAACAGTGAAATTCTGAGACGGCACAATGGTATCAGTAGGGTTATCAAAGCTTGACCACACGGAACCACTGGCATTGGAGAGAATCAAGTTTCCATTATCATGAAGCGTGGCAGAAGAAACACCCATGTTGGAAGTTCCAGAGTCCCACACAGTGAAACCCGACCCATTAACAAGCCGAAGATTCCCGGCGGGAAGGAACCGAAGGGACCCGCCGAAGTCCACGGTGGCGCCATTTCCGGCGGACCAGACGGCGGGTGCGCCGCCGGAGTAGACAACGGCGGCAAAGAAGGAAGGAGGGGAAGTTGGGGAGTGAAGAGGAAGGAAGTGGAGAGAGAAAGTGTTGTTGGGAGAGGACCATGATTGGGTTGTGTTGGATGCGTAAAGGGTCGTGCCTGGTGAGATAGTGATGGTTTCTCCAATGGTGGAGATGACGGCATAGAATAAGACAAAAGACAGTAGCAGAGGTTGTTCTTGTGTTCGGAGCTTCATGTTTCCTAGTACATGTTTTTCACTTGTTTTGTTCGGAGATTTAGACGAGATTGAAAGTTGAAACACAGGAGGATTAGTTAGGTTGAAAGAAAATTGAAGAAAAGAATTTGACCTGAGAGTCTGGATTGGCGGAGGGTATGAACTAATATGGCCTCGTTTGGTTTGCAAGATGTTCTGTTTTTTTTTTTTTTTTAATTATAACAATATTATTTTATTTTTATCAATTTTTTTATTTTTTCAGATTATGAAAAACATTAAAAATATAAAAAGTTAATTTTAGTATTTTTTCGTATAAATCTTAAGAAAATTTATTTATTTTTTTGTAAAACTAAACAGGGTGCTTCTACCCACTAGATCTGGAAACATCTAGTGGTGTGGGATCTTTAACAATAAAGCTTGCAGTCATTACTCATCCTTCAAGTTGATCAATGTTGAAAATATAATTATGAAATGTCGAATAATGCTGATCAACGTTTTTTAAAGTTAAAAAATTATTGAAATATATTTTTTGTATTTGCAATAAAATTTTTATTTGTTAATTTTAAGAGTATACCACTCGTTAGCGAAATATTTCTTACAGGCAGAATCTTTTATTAAAAGAGGTGTACTACTGGCTCCAATTATTAGGTTTACATTAAAATCGACAGTGACGTCCTACTGATAATAAAGAAGCTAATTAATTGTGATAAAAATATACTCATATTTTTTAATTAATATTCTAAAAATATTAGCTAATACTTACTTTATATTTTATCTGATCTAACTATAATACCTATTTAGAAGTTTATTTTATATTTTTTATAAGATCTCTTACAAATTTTTAATCTAACTATATTTTTAAAAATATCTTTAGTTGAAAAAAAGTAATTAACTAAATAAAAAGATACTAAAACAGTGAGTCTCGAATAATTTTGAAAAACATCTAACTTATTGATAAATTTTATACTATTAATGAAGTTAAGTAGCACTCATAATAGGATTTTTATACTCTTTTTATTTTATTTTAAATATTAGTTAATATTAACGAAAACATCTTAAAAAAATATATTTTTTATTAATACACAGAGATTTCAATTGATTTTTGTATAATTTATAATTTTCTGCTTCAATCTAATTCGTTGCTTTGTGTATGGAAAGTGTTTCATAATCTGTTCGATTAAGAATTTAATATTTTACATTATATAAAATGATACAGTTGAAGTGGCAATACAATGAATTTAGTTAAACTATGAGTGGCTTGATTCGACCTAAAGATGATTTCATAAAATGATTGCAGTGTCTCAAAATTTGCATGCCTCCGTTCACTTAATTAATTAAATGTTTACCATTGCTTGTGTTATTTACTATTTTACTTAATTTACAGGTTCTTCTGGTTGTACTGAAGTTTATGTTTTTAATTACTCGTAAGGCTTTTGCATTTACTTAAATCTGTTGCATCAGATAATTATGTTTCTTACGGTGGAGTTACGCCAGTGATAAGCATGTATGCTATGTCCAGAATCCAGAGATATAAATGGGAACCTTTTCATTTCGTCTGAGCAAAATCGAAACAAAGCGGGGTAATGCTATTTGAGCACTCTCTCCAAACCGGAACAAACCAAAGCAAAACCATAAAAAATCCTCCCTTCACTTTCAAGAACCAACACCACCTGGCAATGCACTTCAGCACTCCTTTGCTCAGCCTCCACAAAACAAACAAACACACATCACACGTAGAAACACCACATACAAGAAAAAGGGGTCAAAACTCAAAACCCAAATGCGGAAGCCCACAAAGACATCAAATTTATGAAAAAGAAGAAAACCCACGTGCAACAGTTTCAAGCTGTTAATAACACTTACTTTATTTGAATGAAAATACACAATTCCCGTTATCCCTCAAATAAAAAGGCCAAGTCTATAAATTTTGCTCTGCAACCGAATTCTTAGAAAATAATTTACTTCCTTACTAACAGCATATTCTAAACGTGGGTAATAAAATAGAAATGGTAAAATGTAATAATTAAAAATAAATAATTTTAAATGGTTGGAATATTTGACCCAATCATTCATTCTTTCTTTAACGATCATTAATTATTCTTTTAAACTGCATGCTCAGCAAGCTCAGCAATTTATCTATGATTTTTCCTCTCAAAGCACTGAAAATCTTCAAGTTTAAGTGATTTTGTCATTCTGCTCCTAACCGATCTTTGATATTTTAATAATTTAGCTCAGTAATATTATCATTGTATAAGTCTTTCAAGAAGAAGTAGAATATGACATCAATATGTTTACTTCTTATATGCAATATTATAGTTTTGAACTATTTAATTGTTGAAGCATTATCACAAAACATTCCCTTAACTCTTTTCTTATAGTTATCTAGATGTTCCATAATCTTTATTAGTGAAACACATTAACAAATGACAAGCACATAATGCAACTACTATCAATTCTGCTTCAATTATAGATAAGCTTATCATAGGTTATTTCTTTGAAACCCAAGAAATCAATCCACCTCCTAATAAAGAAGCATAACTAGATATTCTTACATAATAATTGTCAGTATAAAAAAATAATTATTCATTTCCTTTAGCTTTGTTGCTAGGAAGTGACTCAAAATCTGCTTTGTTGCTAGGAAGTGACTTTCTTTTGGATGCTTCATAAAGAGACTAATCATATTGACAAATTGTGCAATTTCTGGTCTTGTAGTTGAACGATACATAAGACTGCCTACAAGCCACTTAAATAAAGTGCTATTGGCCTCCACTCATTTATCTTCTTTCAACAACTTAGTACTTGGAACAATAGAATTCTTCATAAAAAGACTAATCATATTGACAGATTGTGTAATTTCTGGTTTTGTAGTTGAACAATACATAAGACTGCCTCCAAGCTACTTAAATAAAGTGCTATCGGCCTCCACTCATTTATCTTCTTTCAACAACTTAATACTTGGAACAATAGAATTCTTCATAGAATTACAGTCAAACATATTAAATATATCTAACATATCCTTGATGTTTTTTTTTTCCCAATGAAAATGACACAACAATGCTACACAACTTCAATGCTCAAAAAATATCTCATCTTGCCTAAGTTATTCATTACAAATTCATTCATTATCATAGCCTTAAACTCTTAAAACATCAACTCATTATTATCAGTATATATAAGATCATCTACATAAAAATAAACCATTAAGATTTCACCTCCTACCTTCTTTTTGATAAATAAAGAATATTCATGTGGACATTTCAGAAATCATTAGCTGTAAGATGAGACTCCAGTTTGATGTACCATGCTCTAGGAGCAAGGCCATCCAAGGCCTTTTTGAGCTTGTATACTTTATGTTTGTGTCCGTGAAATACAGCTCGATGGTTGCTCTATGTAGACATTTTCATTAATTTCTCCATGCTAGAAGGATGATTTAATATCAAGCTAATAAATACTCCATCTCTTTGCAACTGCCAATGCAATTACAGTCCTGATGGTTTGAAGATGAGCTATCAAAGCAAAAACTTATCCATAATCTATGTGTTCCTTTTAATTGTAGCCTTTTGCTACAAGTCTAACCTTTAATTTGTCAATCTCTTTTATTTCCTTCAGCTTAGTCTTGAAGTTGATGCCTACAACTTTACAATTTAGTTCCAGTTATGACTTTTTTTATGCTTGATTAAATGTTACTAGATCTAATCTTACAAACATGGCCAAATTCATATAATCTTTTACAGTTAAATCATCACTTGTGACATAATCTCTCATCCATAATGATGGTTTTCTAGTCCTCCCTTTAGTTGGAATTATGTAAGCTCTCGAAATAGAACAATCAAACACATTTAAAGTTGAGTTTGGAGTTCTTGCACTAGAAGTTGTTGTTATATCATTAGGATCCTTTTGGATTATCTCCTCAGTCGCTTGAGTTGATTCTTCATGAGGATTCAACTCATTTGTATCAAGTATTATGTTGGTATTTGTTTCATCCAACCCCATGCAACATCCTCCTAAAATTTAACATCTGTACTAATCAAAATTTTTTTCTTGATAAGATCATAAAGTTTGTAGGCCTTAGACTCCTTGCTCACCCTTAACAACACATATTTGATGCTTTTATCATCAAGTTTGCTTCTTTGTTGATCAAGTACATAGCCAATGCAACCAAAGGTTTTGAAATAAGAAACAAATAGCTTGATTTTGCTCCATGCCTCCTCTGGTGTGATATTTTTTATTGCCAGAATTGGGCTTCTGTTCAAAATATGAACTACTCAATTTATAGAATTTGGCCAAAATGATTTTAGAACTCTTCTTTTTGTCAAAACACTCTAAATCATATTTATAATGGTTTGATTTTTTTGCTTAGTTATAATGTTTTGTTGTGGAGTATATGAAGTTGAGTTGCCTTTTGATTTCATATTCATTGCAAAATTCAACAAAATTCTTGGATAAGTACTCTATTTCTCCGTCAGTACATAATATTTGAATAGAAATGTCAACTTGTTTTTCAACTAATGCTTTAAACTTCTTAAATACATCAAATGTTCCATTTTTCTCAACAAGGAAATATACTCCAACTTTATTGCTTAAATCATCAATGAAAGTGAGTATGTACCTTTTGTTTTCATTAGATGTAGGATTAATAAGACCACATATGTTAGAATGAATTAATTCAGCAACTGATATGCATGCCAATTACTTGTCATGAAAAAAGGTCTCCTTAATGCTTCTCTTTGAGACAATGTTCACAACGTTGAGCTAATGGCTTAAAGAAGGGCAGAGCTTTCACCATATCATGCTTTAGTAAATTTTTTAATCCATTGTAGCTCAATTGACCATAGTGAAAGTGTCAAACTTGAGCTAGTGGCGCTGAAATAACCTAAAAACATAGAGAAACTCCATATTTTATACAGACAACAAACATGTAATTAGTAGTCATAGAGATTTAAAAAATAAGGTCTTTTTTTTCAAAACACTACACTTATTTTGCTTCATTTCAACAATCAATCCTCTCTCCTGAAGTTTCTCCATTGTGAATAAATTATTTTTCAACTCAAGTACATAAAAAACAAATAATTAATTGTACAACTCTATTAATCAGAAATCTAACATTATCATTCCCAATCACCTTTAGTGGATAATTGTTCCCCAATTTTACTTCATTAGAAAAAGATACATCAATAGAAGAGAACCAATCCTTTCTACCTATCACGTGGTTGCTACACTAAATCAATACAAAAACATTTATTTTGTTGTTCCGCCTTCTTTGGACATTCATATTGGAAATGTCCAAAATCATGACAATAATAGCATTTTGTTGTCACCTTGTCCACTAGTACCTCTTTTGCCTCTACCTCTTCCTTATGCAGCACCAACTTGAAAATCACTTCTTTCACGACCATGTCCAACGCTTGTTTCATCTTGTGTAACTTTGAGCACTTTCTCTTCATGTGAACTATGGTCATTCATTCGCTACTTGTGTACAAACAGGCTACTTGGGAGCTCATATACAATAATTGAATCCAAATCATGAGATTCTTCAATAGAACACAGTACATAATCGTACTTGGAAATTATTAAGCAGAGAATCTTTTCAATAATATTAAGATCAAACATTTATCCACCATACATCCTTGTCTTATTTGCAATTGAGAGTTTATGCAAAAATAAATCGTTAACAAATTTTTATTTTTTTCCATTCTTCATATGTAGAATCTCCTAGTCACACTTTAAGGCCTAAAGTTGTGCTTGCTTTACTTTGGCAGTACCTTAGTAGTTTTGTTTCAAAGAATTCCATATCTCTTTCGATGTCCCCTTCTTCAAAATTGTTTCAAGCACAGCTCGACAGGTAATTTTTCACCTTCAAATCTTTCAACTTGAGCTCTTCTAAAATTTTCTTCTGATTCTTTGTCAATGTGACCTCAATTGCATGTTGAGGAATCTTTGGATCTATAAGATTCCAAAACTTCTTTGTCCTTTAGAAGTTCTCATGAGCATTGCCCAATGCTTATAGTGCTCATCAATTTTGGAATCCTAGGTTGCATGAAGCTGTTGTATGAATTCATGGTTGTACCTACGATTGAAGATTGTTGCTTCAAATGTACCCAGTCTGATCTTCCACATCAGAAAAGATTAATTCCTTGTTGTTGGATAATCATCCTTGATTGTTGAAGCTACAATGTCATTTGCAAGTGCTGTTAAATGTGACATAGAGAAATTTGATGGAAGGATCAATGATTACACATGGGCATTAGCTAACACTGATGCAGGATGTGCCGTAATTGTACACGAACATTGGTTAACATTGATGCAAGGTGTGTGGTAAGTGTACACGGACATTGATTATATTATATAAATAGTACCTTGATTGCCGCAGTAGAAAGAAAAAATTATATAAATAAGTATAAATAATTTTCGCAAAGGAGGGGCACCTTTTTTCATGCAACCTATTTACTACAATGCAAGAAAATTTAGAGTATGTTTGTTTTTTATTTTTAAAAAAGATTTAAAAAATATATATATTATTTTTAAAAAGAAAAAATTCTTTTTAAAAATAGATACAAACATGCTCTCATCAATTTCAATGCTTTTATTTTATTGGACTCTATTTTACCATAGACAAAGGATATATATGGAGACTCTTAACTATATATAAATTAAATAGAGTTTCCCTTGAGCTTATGCACATTTGTTTTTGGCGCATAATCATCATGAATGCATTTCCTCCTCAGTATGCAATCATATTTGCTTGGTTGCTATGTGTAATACTGTTTATGTTGCAAAGTCTAAGAAAAAATTATTTGGGTAACTAGGCCAACTTATAACAAAGAGAAGAGAAGTCTAAGAAAAAATTGCATCAAATGTGGCTTAAGATTTCTATTCAATAACGACATATACGTTTACACCAATAACTTAAAAAAATTCATATATCTTCCTATGATTAATCATTTATGATCACATATTTATCATACATTAAATGCTATAGATTAGTCCACCTTGTGTGACTTGGACTTCGTTATCAATGCTCCCAAAGAAATTCCAATCTTTAATTTCTTCTATGAAACATTAATATTTGTTCGAAGTTTACCAAAATATAACACTTGTACCAAAAAGTATTGATGTGGCCATGAAGAAGATAAATTTTACATAAATATTCTTCTTCTTGTCTTATAATGTACAAAATTGTATTCAAATTGTAAGGATATTTATTATGTTCTATTGAATAATCATACCATGGAGTCTTACGGCATGTGTTAACTCAAAAATTTAATTAGTTAGGTTTATTGATATTTTACATTTTATGCAGTGTACATATAGTTTCAAAGAGATTTGTAAAGATAAAATTCATATAAATATCAGTATTCTTACCTTATAATTTAGCGAAATTGTCCAAACTACTAGGTCAATCAAGGTATCCAAAATGATGGGGAGATTTATTTTAATAAAGAGTTGATTGTATTTTTTTTTAATTTAGCATATGTACGATCTTGTTGTTGTTAACCTTTTTTTCAAAGTTAATCAAGTTTTTCTAGTTTTTTAAATTGTAAAAATTAATTTGTTTTATCATGTATTGATTGGAGTAAAAAAGTGTTCAAAAATTATTAAGTATGTAATTTTGTGCTTTATTTTAAGATTTGTATATATAAGAAAATATTGTTAAAAGGCTCTCATTTTAACATTTAATTATACTTATCAAGCATCTTTTTATTCTGAAAAATATCGACGTACCAATAAGCCAATAACTTAAAAAAGATGTTCACATATCTTACTATTACTAAATATTTTTCATCACTTATTTGCTAAACGTTGACTTGGTCAATCAACGAGTAAATGTTATGACTAATTTTCTGCACCAAGATTAGTCTACCTTGCGTGACTTGTCGTTTGTCATTGATATACTGCCAAAATTTTCCAGTCTTTCACCAATGAAACATTGATATTTGTTTAAAGTATATATCAAAATATAACATGCGTACAAATGCTTATCTTTTATAAAATAAACGTCAGATTTTAAATTGAACTTATGCAATTTTTCTAAGAAAAAAGTCTTCATGTGGCCCTGAAAGGAAAACTTTATATAAACAGTTTCTTGATCGCCGCAGTGAGAGAGTCAAAAAAATATATAAATAAATATAATATTGTGTAAGTCGTCTTCGTAAAGGAGGGGGTATATTTTTTCATGCAACATGATAATTAGAATACAAGAAAATTTAGAGTACGTTTATTTTCATTTTTAAAAAGGTCTTTTTAAATAATAAAAATATAATATTTTTAATTTTAGAAAGAGAAAATTCTTTTTAAAAATAGATACAAACATGTTATATAGACAACGGATATATAAACATTTTAAAAATAGATACAAACATTTTAGAAAGTGAATTTCAATGCTTTTATTTTTTATTGGACTCTATTTTACTATAGACAACGGATATATAGAGACTCTTAAATGTATATAAATTAAATAGAGTTTCCCTTGAGCTTATGCACATTTGTTTTTGGCGCATAATCATCATGAATGCATCTCCTCCTCAGTATGCAATCACATTTGCTTGGTTGCTATGTGTAATATTATTTATGTTCAAGACGGGTTCGTGGAGCTTCATGATCCGTTGTAACCAGAAAGACAAGCATGCTCTCTTAAACTTCAAGCAAGGAGTCACTGATCCATCAGGTATGCTCTCATCATGGTCCACTACAAAAGATTGTTGTGAATGGAGGGGAGTGACTTGTGACAACGTCACAAGTAGAGTCACTGAACTCCGTCTCCCATGTTCTACAGCTCTTCTTCCAACTTATGTTGACAAAGTGGATAAATCACACTGCGTTACAGGTTCTATTCATTTATCTTTTGTGGACTTCGAATTTCTAAATTACTTGGATTTGAGCAATAATGATTTCTTGGCTATCCAATTTGACTATGTTAATAGTCCATATGATCATAATCGATCTCTTGCTACCTCTCCTCGTCAATCTGTGAACTCTTCAGTTCTTCGTTATCTTGATTTATCAGATAATGAGAATCTTGCCATTGATAATCTTCTATGGCTTTCCCGCCTTTCTTCCTTGGAATATCTCAACCTTGGTCGCATTGATCTGCACAAGGAAACTAATTGGCTTCAATTAGTGACTATGCTTCCATCACTTACAGAGTTGTACCTGAGTCATTGTCAACTTAAAGACTTGAGTCCGTCTCTTCAATATGCTAATTTTACTTCACTTCAAGGTCTTTATCTTTACAATAATGAATTTGACTCGGAGTTACCTAAATGGTTATTCAATCTTTCTAGTGGCATTTCTTATATTGATTTTTTGGGTAATTCTTTGAAAGGCCAGCTACCGAAGGCATTGCCAAATATTCGACATCTGAAATCCTTGAATTTGGCAGTCAATAACTTCAATGGACCAATTCCAGATTGGCTAGGACAACTTGAACATTTGCAAGAGCTTGTTCTTACAGTGAACAAGTTTTCTGGATCTATTCCCACAAATTTGGGAAATCTGTCATCCTTAGTGGTCTTGTATTTCGGCAACAATAATTTGACCGGGGTTGTGTCTCCCAGAAATTTTGTAAAACTATCAAAGTTGAAGTATTTGAGTATATGCGTATCACCACCGTTAATCTTTGATTTTGATCCCCATTGGGTTCCTCCTTTTCAACTTGACGACATATGTTTAGCATTTGGTGGTTCTAAACCTCCTGCATGGCTATACACACAAAGATCCCTTGATCTTCTAGCCATTTTTCACTCATCATTTGAGGCTCAAGATGAGTTTTGGAATTTTGCATCAATGACGAAGGTCGAGCTAGATTTAGAAGATAATTCAATAGATGGGGACATTTCAAATGCGGTGTTGAACACTACATTCATAGCTCTGTCAAACAATAATTTGAAAGGTGGTTTGCCTCGACTATCATCAAATGTGGCCCTTATTGATTTATCAAACAACCTATTGTCAGGAACCATCTCTCCCCTTTTGTGTGATCCTAAGATGCTGAATGGGAAAAGCAATTTGTTATATTTGGATCTCTCTAACAATCATCTATCTGGAGGGCTTACAAATTGTTGGAAGAACTGGAAGTCATTACTTCATATTAACTTGGGAAGCAATAACTTAACAGGAGAGATACCCCCATCAATGGGCTTATTATCTAATCTTACTACGTTGCATCTGCATGAGAATGAGCTCTATGGTGAGATAACTCCCATGTTGCGGAATTGCCCTCTTCTGGTCTTTAATGTTCGTGAAAATAACTTTTCAGGAAATATACCAAATTGGATACCACAGAGTGCAAAGGCTCTCCAATTAAGGTCCAATCAATTCAGTGGTAACATTCCACCACAAATATGCCAAATTTCTTCCCTAATTATTTTTGATTTTGGAGATAATAGAATCTCAGGACATATACCCAATTGCCTAAATAATATCACATCTTTAGTTTTCAACAATGCTTCTATTACTAAGCTTAGTTTTTACTTTCATGTCGATGGTGTTTATTACTACTTAGCAGAGAATCTTGAGCTTTTTACCAAGGGTCAAGTATCAGAATACAAACAAACCCTGCACTTTATGACCTTAGTTGATCTTTCCGGCAATGATATATCTGGAACAATACCTCCACAACTGTTTAGCCTCATTGGATTGCATTCCTTGAACTTGTCCTTCAATAAATTGGAGGGAAGAATACCAGAAGAGATTGGCAACATGAAAAACTTGGAGTCCCTTGATTTATCAACAAACCAACTTTTGGGTGAAATTCCTCAGGGCATGTCCAGTCTATCCTTTCTCAGTTTCTTAAACCTGTCATTCAACAATCTCACGGGCAAAATACCATCAGGCACACAACTTCAGGGGTTTACTGAACTAAGCTACATAGGAAATCGTGATCTTTGTGGACTTCCACTTCAAAAAATCTGCTTGCAGGATGGTCAATCAAAAGACACAAAGCCAATGGATGAAGATGAGGATGAATCTGAATTTTTGTCATGGTTTTACATTGGCATAGAATGTGGATTTGCCGTGGGCTTTTTGGGATTCTGCTGTTGCATTTTCTTAAATAGGAAATGGAGACACGCTTACTTCAAATTCCTTTATGGCTTAGAAGATCGACTTTGTCGTGGTTGTCATCGAGGTTAACTCCTTTCGGATGAGATTGAACAAGTTGCTTGCATAGCCTAGTGGTACTGGTAAGTAGAACCTTTCAATCGAGATTTTCATTTGAGTTGTTATACTAAATAAGTTCCTCCTTCCATCTGATATGTTTAATATTTTTCATTACTAGTCTTATGCATTACCTATACTACTCTGGTTAAGTATCATTATATTTTATATATATATAGTTATTTATTATTATCTATCACTACCATATGAACAACATAACACTTGAACAAACCTATGGGTCATATAATGAGATTTACTGTTGGATAATTTCTATAATAGAGCTATATTAAAACAAACTTATATTACGCTAAGTTATTGAAAATAAAAGATAGTTCTAAAAATATTTGGATTCATATAACTTTGCAATATAACACAGTAGAATGGTAATATTTTGGGAATGATTTTTGAGGATTTTTAGTATTATAATCTTTCACAATTAGATCTCTTTATCTTCCAATGAGACCTAATGTTTTCTTTTTTATGAAAAGAGAGTAAAAAACTGTTTGATCTGATGTATTAAGGATCATGATCACACTTTTACTTATAATTCTATTAGGATTGTCATTATCTTTTAACAGCTTAAATTTTGTTTTCACTTATTAAACTTATAATAGTTTTTATTATTATAAAGATTCACTGAAATAAGATCACTTATATTAAATTTATATAATGAAAAATTTATAAAAATATTATAAATAATATATAATCTACTTTATATTATTAAAAATAAAAATAAAAACATAAAATTTCTACCATTCACATGTTCAATAAATCCAAATATTGTAATTATTCCCCTGTCAGAAAGCTGTTTCTCTGCGACAATACTCCACATGCAGAGGGTAACTTACCTACAAACTAGTTCGTTCATCCAATTATTTGCGTTCAGGGGATTGATCAATTATGGAACTTGAAGTAACTATAACCCGAGATGCAATTAGTGTTATTTTGGACAAACTTGCCTAATTGAGTTCAGCAAAAAGAGATCAAAATGCCATTATAAAAGCTAAATAACTGCTAAAGATTTTCTCACATAATATTTGAAGTTCCAAACGAATATTGTTATTATTACCCGTGCAATTATTATTTAATTTACTTAATTTGCAGGTACTTTTGGTGTGTATCCTTCAACAAGATTTGATTTTCATCGCTACCTACCTGGGTGTAAAAAGTGATGCTACTGAAGACTTTACTTGTTAAGGACCTTTAAGGTCCTGGATGTTATTTCTTATATATGTGTGTGGTATGAGACATGTTTCTTATTCGTAATTTACGTCAAGTAATAACTAGATATACTAACATGCAAGTATCAAAATAATAGGGATTATCTATCATTCTCTCGAAAAAATGACCCATTTAATTACTTGATACAAAAATTAAAATTATGTTATAGTTTGATATATATAATTACGTAAGATTTGTTTAAATTATCTTATGTGATGAGTTATTTTATTTAAATAGGACAGTATTACTTAAAGAAAATAAATTAATACAAAAATGGTCTCTCTCTCTCTCTCTTAGTTCAATCTTCTTCCACCTGTTTATAAAAGTTGTATTTGGCAAATGATAATGATTTAGTGCTAAGCTAAAACACCTGTTTATAAAAGTTGTTTGGCAAATGATGATGATTTAATGCTAAGCTAAAAATCAACACGGCAAGCAACCTTTTGTGAACAAACAGAAATATGCGACTAAAGTTTGTAACTTTGTTTCGTTCCTTCTCAAACAATAATAAAAGGAATAAATTCCTTTTTATTTCTTTTAAAGTCAGAAATGGACTCTCCAAATGAAGCTTTGGAGATCTTTCCTAGCTTTTTTGGCCCCGGGATTTCATTTGTTATTATTTTTTTCATCATCTATGGCAAACATTTATGGTAAATGCATCGCCAAATTACTTAAAGGACTAGCATCAAAAGATATGGATACAAGGCTTTTAGAAGAAAGTTATTATCAATTTTGTTACTGTCTTTTTTTTTATAGAATCAAACTGTAATATTTTTTATTTTTAACTAATTCTTTTGAATATGTATCTTACTTTTATTAGTTTATTATTTTGCAATATTCTTTTTTATTAGGTGTAGTGCTTGTATATATACAGCCCCTCTGCATTGGTTTCAATCAAAGAAAGAGAGAAATATTTTCAAATTATTCCCATCCTTCTTTTCCTTTGATCATCTTTTTGTTTTCTAATATAGTATCATAGCTTTGATTTTCAAAGCTCTAGTTGCTACATTTATTCATGGCTGAAGTTGTTGATCCCTTACAAAACCTTAGTTCTCCTCACCATGTTAGTTCCTTTGATAATCCTTCATTTCTCATTGTCTTGAATGTTCTTGAAGGACCAAACTATCATCATTGGTCACGTTCATTTTGAATGAGTCTCATTTCAAAAAACAAGATAAGTTTCATTGATGGAACCATAAAAGCTCTTGATCGTACCAACTCATTGTTTCCAGCATGGCAGAGAGCCAATATGTTGGTTGTTTCTTGGATGCTGAAAAGCTGTTTCTCCATCCATTGCACAGAACATTATCTATATGGACAATGCCTTTGACATATGGAATGATTTAGAGGCAGTTTCTCAAAAGGAGACATGATTCACATTTCTGATCTTTAGGAGATGATTTTTTCTTTTAAACAAGGCGAGTTGAGTGTTACAAACTATTTGACTGAGCTCAAAATTCTTTAGGATGAGCTTGATCTTTTTCACCTACTACTTTAAATGTTGTGTATAAAGGACAAGACTAGATTATTAAATTTCTAAAAGGGCTAAATGATAGATATTTGACTGTTAGAACTCAAATTCTAATGATGGATCCCTTGCCATCCTTGAATAAAGTTTTCTCTCTTGTTACACAACAAAAGAGAGATTTTTGGTGATCAGCCTAAGACAATGGCTATTACTAGAAGAGGAGGTTATAAAAACAACAATGCAAGTTATGGAAGAGGTACTAGGTATGAAAGAGAAAATACTTTTAAAGTGTATAGTTATTATGAAAAGACAAGACATACCATTGATACATGCTATAGAAAGCCAATGGATGAAGATGAGGGTGAATATGAATTTTTGTCATGGTTTTACATTGGTATAGAATGTGGATTTGCCGTGAGCTATTTGGGATTCTGCTGTTGCATTTTCTTAAATAGGAAATGGAGACACGCTTACTTCAAATTCCTTTATGGCTTAAAAGATCGACTTTGTCGTGGTTGTTATCAAAGTTAACTCCTTCCGGGGTTGAGATTGAACAAGTTGCATGCATAGCCTAGTGGTATGTAGAACCTTTCAATCGAGATTTTCATTTGAGTTGTTATACTAAATAAGTTTCTCCTTCCATCTGATTTTTGTTTTTAAATTTTCATTACTAATGTTTTACATTACCTATAGTATTCTGGTTAAGTATCATTGTATTTTCTAGATATAGTTATTTATTATTATCTATCACTATCATATCAGAACAATATAACTCCTGAACAAACTATGCGTAGTATGATGGGATTCCCATATTCAGTAAATCCCAATATTGTAAGTATTTTTCTGCTAGAATGCTATTCCTCTACGACCATACTTCACATGCAGAGGGTAACATTTTTGGTAAATGCATCGCCAAATTACTTAAAAGACCAGTTGGTAGAGACATGGCGATGCTGATAACTTGAGTAATACGTCAAAGAGTTTGAATTTAGGGACTCTAAGTAACAGATAAAATCAATATAGACACATATTACTTGATCAACAGTGTTAATGACTGAGTCCAATTTAATAATCATACTTTGACTTTTTTTTCATATAATTTTTATTAAGAGATTGTTTGAAAAGGAGAGTTTTGAAAAAGAAGTAAGAGAAAAATAAATTTTATATGTTAAATAAATATATTTAAAATTAATATTTTATTCAAAATAAAAAAATATAATTAATATATTAATTATGCATTTATTATTATAAATAATATATAATTATTATCATTTAAAATAAAAAATATATCCTCCTCATCTTTTTCCTCCAAAACTCTTCTCCCAAAGTATATTCTAAAAGAAATTTTCAAAACTGTGTTCTATACAAACTTTTCACTTAGAAAAACAAGCAATATAACTGTTTTATTATTTTATATTTTATGTAGCATGAATTATATTACTTAAACTTTACTTGAATCTTATAAAATAATTGAATATTTTTTATTTAACAAGACTCACATAAAATTTACTTCATAATATAAGTATGTGATTAGGATTTCTTAAATTTAAAATACATAATTTAGACTTTTTTGCAAAAAAGAAGAAGAAGAAGAAATACATAATTTAGACTTGAATTTTCACAGAATCAACTTTGCTTAAAATAAAAGGGGAACCTCCTTTTTAAGAAAGGCCCCGTTAAAGTAGACCTTGGAAGCCTCAAGACAGAAAAAGGGCATAGTACATTTATTTCTACCCTATTTTACTATTTCACAAAAATCATTTACACAAACACACTAATTTCTACAAAATTCTTACATCGAAAAATTAAGCTAGTGAGGCGAGTCACATAGATTTAATATATTGTTAATTATATCAATAAATAAATAATTGATATCTGAAATTTTAGAGATTATTTGAAAAAGAAAATTTTTAAAGAAAAATAAAATGTATATTTTAAATAAATATATTAAAATTAATATTTTAAAAAAATAAAATATATAAATTAATATATAGACATAAACTTAATATATTAATAATACATAAAAAATAAATTATATAAACTCTAAAAAACATATTTTAATTGTATTGTGTAAAACATAAGTTTATTTCATTCAAAAATTACCTCATAAAAAAGAATAAACTATTATAAAGAATATTTTATCTCTATTTCTACCTTATATAAAACATGTTAACATAATTTATAGAAAGAATATTCTTGAAAGAAAACAGATAATTCTAATATCCTTTCTTTTTTTTTTTGTAAAAAATAAAAATAATATTTTTCAATAAGTAAAGTGAAATTAATACTAAGCTGTCGATATTTGTAAATAAAAAATGAATGGTTAAGATTGATTAGTGAAAAGGTTAATAATCGAAAGTAGCATGTGATTACTTTGGGTAATAACATGTTAATAAAGAGTATACGCTAGCTTTACTTTATTTTTGATGTTAAGATGTTAACTTTCTACTGATTAATGTAAAAAGTAGCTACGTTAACTTTCTACATCAGTTTCTTAACAAAATTGATGTAGGAAGTATATGTTAGCTTTTTATGCATAAGTTCTCCAATAAAATCAATGTAAAAAATAATGATATTAGCTTTTTTACATAGGTTTCTCTACAGAACCGATTTAGAAAGTAATATTTTAAAAAAAATTACGTCACAAAAAGGAGACAATAGTTAATCATGTCACAAAATAGAGTCAAAAGAGAATTAACATAATCTATTTATCCGTTAGTCTAAGATATAAAGTTAAGCATCTCAAGTCTGCTAGTAGCTGTGAATATGTGAAAAGACTATGAGTTTGTTGCAATTTTTTACGCAAAGTTTGGTCCAAAAGTGTGATTTTCTTAAGCAAATTATGTCATATTTCAAAGATAGAAAGAAAATATAAATATATTTAATAAAGATTCTTGATAAATCTATATTTATCATATTTTAATATATATGTCCTTTTATTACAAAATATGAATAAGGATGAGAACTTGTTGATGCACTTGCACTTGCAGAATATTAATTTATGCTTCTAATTTTTTTTTTTTAGTATTTTTTTATATTTTTCCTTAAGTCTAAGCTATGTTATTAATACCAAAGAAGAAAAGGAAAACGACAAAAAAGAGGAATTGAATGAGAAAAAAAATATTAATATATCTTTTTTAAATATAAATTATATTACTAGTTTTTTATTTTTTATTTTTAATCATCTAATTTTAATCATCAGTTGATAATGTTTAAAAAAAAAAATTTAGAATTCATCGAGAAAACAACTTTGACCCGTCAAAAAAGTTATATGTAATAAATTAAAATTCTTTCGATTCGTTAAGAAAAAAGAAGAAAACTCCTCTCATGGAAATCGATAAAAAAAAATATTTCCTGCCTCAACCATCAAATAAAAAATGTCTCTTTCTTTATGAATTCAAAAAAGTTACTTATCTGATTCATACTTTGGTTCTGCTTTTATAAAAATTGCCCTTAATGTAGGAAAAGAAAATGTAATGGGCATCCTTATCTGTGAACTCTTCAGTACTTCGTCATCTTGACTTATCAGTTGATGAGAATCTCGCCATTGATAATCTTCGATGGCTATTCCACCTTTCTTCCTTGGAATATCTCATCCTTGATCGCATTGATCTGCACAAGGAAACTAATTGGCTTCAATTAGTGACTATGCTTCCATCACTTACACTGTTGTACCTGAGTCAATGTCAACTTAAAGACTTGAGTCCGTCTCTTCAATATGCTAATTTTACTTCACTTTAAGGTCTTCATCTTTCCTATAATGAATTTGACTCAGAGTTACCTAAATGGTTATTCAATCTTTCTAGTGGCATTTCATATATTAATTTTTATGATAATTCTTTGAAAGGCCAACTACCGAAGGCATTGCCAAATCTTCGATATCTGAAATCCTTGATTTTGGCATTCAATAACTTCAATGGACCAATTCCAGATTGGCTACGACAACTTGAACTTTCCTAGGTTTTTTGGTCCCAGGGTTTCTATTCTTATCATTTTTTTCATCATCTACGATGGCAACATTTGTGGTAAATGCATCGCCAAATTAATAAAAGGACCAGTTGGTAGAGACATGGCGATGCTGGTAACATGAGTGATACGTCAAAGACAAGAAACTGTGGTGGAAGTGCATCGTTGAAAAGGTTTTCCCTTACCTTCTAGCTTCTCCCCTTTATATTATATTTTATAGTTTTAAAATTAATTTTTTATATATAATATTTATTGTGTGCTCATGAATATATATTAAAAAAATCGTTTGCAGAACATTATTTGAGTAACTAGGCCAACTTATAACAAAGAGAAGAAAAGTCTAAGGAAAAATTGCATCAAACGTGGCTTAAGATTTCTATTCAATAACGACATATACGTCACTATAAAAAAATATAACGACATATAAGTTTACACCAACTTAAAAAAATTCATATATCTTCCTATTATTAATCATTTATGATCAAATTTTTATCATACATTAAATGCTATATAGATTAGTCGACCTTGTGTGACTTAGACCTCGTTATTAATACTCACACAGAAATTCCAATCTGTAATTTCTTCTATGAAACATTGATATTTGTTCGACGTTTACCAAAATATAACACTTGTACAAAAGAGTATTGATGTGGCCAATGAAAAGCAGAAATTTTACATAAATATTCTTCTTCTTGTCTTATAATTTACAAAATTGTATTCAAATTGTAAGGAGATTTATTATGTTCTATTGAATAATCATATCATGGAGTCTTACGGCATGTCTTAACTCAATTTTAAGAAGTTAGGTTTATTGATTTTTTACATTTTATGCAGTGTTCATATAGTTTCAAAGAGATTTGTAAAGATAAAATTCATATAAATATCAGTATTCTTACCTTATAACTTTACCGAAATTGTCCAAACTACTAGGTCAATCAAGCTATCCAAAATGATGGGGAGATTTATTTTAATAGAGTTGATTTTTTTTAAATTTAGCATATGTACGATCTTGACGTTGTTTACTTTTTTTTTCAAAGTTAATCAGGTTTTTTTAGTTTTTTAAATTGTAAAAATTAAGTTATTTTATCACGTATTGATTGGAGTAAAAAAGTGTTCAAATTTATTATGTATGTAATTTTGTGCTTTATTTTAAGATTTGTATATATAAGAAAATATTGTTAAAAGACTCTCATTTTAACATTTAATTATACTTATCATGCATCTTTTTCTTTTTTTTTTTTCTGAAAAATATCAACGTACCAATAAGCCAATAACTTAAAAAATATGTTCACATATCTTATTTGCTAAACGTTGACTTGGTCAATTAATAAGTAAATGTTATGGCTAATTTTCTGCACCAAGATTAGTCTACCTTGCGTGACTTGTCCTTTGTCATTGATATACTGCCAAAATTTTCCAGTCTTTCACCAATGAAACATTGATATTTGTTTAAAGTATATATCAAAATATAACAACCGTACAAATGCTTATCTTTTATAAAATAAACCTCTTAGATTTTAAAGTGAATTTATGCAATTTTTATAAGAAAAAAGTTTTCTTGAGCCCCGAACGAAGAAATTTTGTATAAATAGTATCTTGATCGCCGCAGTGAGAGAGGGAAAAAATATTAAATAAATATAATAATGCGTAAATCGTTTTCGTAAAGGAGGAGCACTTTATTTTCATGCAACGTGACCGCTACAATGCAAAGAAATTTAGACAGTCAATTTCAATGCTTGAAGTATTTTATCATTGTGACTATTTTATTTTTACCATAGACAAAGGATATATATGGAGACTCTTAATTGTATATAAATTAAATAGAGTTTTCCCTTGAGCTTATGCACATTTGTTTTTGGCGCACAATCATGAATACATCTCCTCCTCAGTATGCAATCACATTTGCTTGGTTGCTATGTGTAATATTATTTATGTTCAACACGGGTTCTTGGAGCTTCATGATCCGTTGTAACCAGAAAGACAAGCATGCTCTCTTATACTTCAAGCAAGGAGCCACTGATCCATCAGGTGTGCTCTCATCATGGTCCACTACCAAAGATTGTTGTGAATGGAGGGGAGTGACTTGTGACAACATCACAAGTAGAGTCACTGAGCTTAGTCTCACGTGTTCTACAGCTCTTCATCCAACTTTTGTTGACAAAGTGGATAAATCACACTGCCTTACAGGTTCTATTCATCTATCTTTTGTGGACTTTGAATTTCTAAATTACTTGGATTTGAGCAATAATGATTTCTTGGCTATCCAATTTGATTATGTTAATAGTCCATATGATCATAATCGATCTCTTGCTACCTCTCCTCGTCAATCTGTGAACTCTTCAGTTCTTCGTTATCTTGATTTATCAGATAATGAGAGTCTTGCCATTGATAATCTTCTATGGCTTTCCCACCTTTCTTCCTTGGAATATCTCAACCTTGGTCGCATTGATCTGCATAAGGAAACTAATTGGCTTCAATTAGTGAGTATGCTTCCATCACTTACAGAGTTGCGCCTGAGTCGTTGTCAACTTAAAGACTTGAGTCCGTCTCTTCAATATGCTAATTTTACTTCACTTCAAGGTCTTCATCTTTCCTATAATGAATTTGACTCAGAGTTACCTAAATGGTTATTCAATCTTTCTAGTGGCATTTCATATATTAGTTTTTATGATAATTCTTTGAAAGGCCAACTACCGAAGGCATTGCCAAATCTTCGATATCTGAAATCCTTGATTTTGGCATTCAATAACTTCAATGGACCAATTCCAGATTGGCTAGGACAACTTGAACTTTTGCAAGAGCTTTATCTTACAGGGAACGAGTTTACTGGATCTATTCCCACAAATTTGGGAAATCTGTCATCCTTAATGGTCTTGGATGTCGGCAGCAATAATTTGACCGGGGTTGTGTCTCAGAGAAATTTTGCAAAATTATCGAAGTTGGAGAATTTGGATATATGCGTATCACCACCGTTAATCTTTGATTTTGATCCCCATTGGGTTCCTCCTTTTCAACTTGACGACATATGTTTAGCATTTGGTGGTTCTAAACCTCCTGCATGGCTATACACACAAAGATCCCTTGATCTTCTAGCCATTTTTCACTCATCATTTGAGGCTCAAGATGAGTTTTGGAATTTTGCATCAATGACGAAGGTCGAGCTAGATTTAGAAGACAATTCAATAGATGGGGACATTTCAAATGCGGTGTTGAACACTACATTCATAGCTCTGTCAAACAATAATTTGAAAAGTGGTTTGCCTCGACTCTCATCAAATGTGGCCCTTATTGATTTATCAAACAACCTATTGTCAGGAACCATCTCTCCCCTTTTGTGTGATCCTAAGATGCTGAATGGGAAAAGCAATTTGTTATATTTGGATCTCTCTAACAATCATCTATCTGGAGGGCTTACAAATTGTTGGAAGAACTGGAAGTCATTACTTCATATTAACTTGGGAAGCAATAACTTAACAGGAGAGATACCCCCATCAATGGGCTTATTATCTAATCTTACTACGTTGCATCTGCATGAGAATGAGCTCTATGGTGAGATAACTCCCATGTTGCGGAATTGCCCTCTTCTGGTCTTTAATGTTCGTGAAAATAACTTCTCAGGAAATATACCAAACTGGATACCACAGAGTGCAAAGGCTCTCCAATTAAGGTCCAATCAATTCAGTGGTAACATTCCACCACAAATATGCCAAATTTCTTCCCTAATTATTTTTGATTTTGGAGATAATAGAATCTCAGGACATATACCCAATTGCCTAAATAATATCACATCTTTAATTTTCAACAATGCTTCGCATAGTAAGCTTACTTTTTACTTTGATCTCGGTAGTATTTATTACTACTCTGTAGAGAGTCTTGAGCTTTTTACCAAGGGTCAAGTATCAGAATACGAAAAAACCCTGCACTTTATGACCTTACTTGATCTTTCCGGCAATGAAATATCAGGAGCAATACCTCCACAACTGTTTAGCCTCATTGGATTGCATTCCTTGAACTTGTCCTTCAATAAATTAGAGGGAAGAATACCAGAAGAGATTGGCAACATGAAAAACTTGGAGTCCCTTGATTTATCAACAAACCAACTTTGGGGTGAAATTCCTCAGGGCATTTCCAGTCTATCCTTTCTCAGTTTCTTAAACCTGTCATCCAACAATCTCACGGGCAAAATACCATCAGGCACACAACTTCAGGGGTTTACTGAACTCAGCTACGTAGGAAATCGTGATCTTTGTGGACTTCCACTCAAAAAAATCTGCTTGCAGGATGGTCAATCAAAAGACACAAAGCCAATGGATGAAGCTGAGAATGAATCTGAATTTTTGTCATGGTTTTGCATTGGTATAGAATGTGGATTTGCCGTGGGCTTTTTGGGATTCTGCTGTTGCATTTTCTTAAATAGGAAATGGAGACACGCTTACTTCAAATTCCTTTATGGCTTAGAAGATCGACTTTGTCGTGGTTATCATCAATGTTAACTCCTTCCGGTTGAGATTGAACAAGTGCATGCATAGCCTAGTGGTAAGTAGTTGTTATACTAAATAAGTTTCTCCTTCCATCTGATATGTTTTTTATTTTTTATTACCTATACTATTCTTGTTACGTATCCATTTTATTTTATGTATAGTTATTATTATCTATCACTATCATATGAACAATATAACTCTTTAATAAACTTATGCGCCATATAATGAGATTCATTGTTGGATAATTTCTATTAACAGTATAAAACCAAAGGATAAAAGAGAGTTTTAAAAATGCTTGAATTCATAAAACTTTATTAACATTTTATAAATGATATTTTGAAATATTTGATACTATAATTTTTCACAGTTAAGTTTCTTTATCCTCCAACGAAGAGGAGGGAATAAAATACTGTCTAATCTAATGCATTAGATACTATGACTACACTTTTATATCTATTCTTATTATTGTTTTTGTTATCTTTTCATGGACTTAAATTTTGTTTCTAGTTATTAAATCTATATTACTTTTTATTAATAGACTAAAGACTCACTAAAATTAAATCAATAATATTAAAGTTTTATAAATATAAAAAATTATATAAATATTATAAATAATATGTAATGTACCTTATATTATTAAAAATATAAAAACATAAAATTTCTAACATTCACATATTTATTGAGTAAATCCAAATATTGTAATTGTTCCTCTACGACCATACTCCAGTTGCAGAGGGTAGCTTTCCTACAAATTAGCTCGTTCATCCAATTATTGTGTTCAGGGGATTGTTCTGAGCATTCTTGTGGTCTACAAAAGCTGGTTGTTATAACCATTACGTTTACATCCTGCACTCTCTCTTTTGTTTGTTTCTTGATCAATTATGGAACTTGAAGTAACTATAACCTTGGATGCAATTAGTATTATTTAGGACAAACTTGCCTAATTGAGTTCAGCGAAAAGAGATCAAAATACCATTATAAAAGCTAAATAACTGCTAAAGGTTTTTCTCACATAATTAATATTTGAATTTCCAAACGAATATTTTTATTATTTACCCTTGCAATTATTATTTAATTTACTTAATTTGCAGGTACTTTTGCAGTTTCAACTCTACCTACCTGGGTCTAAAAAAGTGATGCTACTGAAGCCTTTGCTTATAAAGGACTTTAAGGTCGTGGATGCTCTTTCTTAAATAAATGTGTGGTATCAGACATGTTTCTTATTCGTAATTTCCGTCCAGTAATAACTATATAACTAGCATGCAAGTATCAAGATATAGGGATTATATCTCATTTTCTCGAAAAAATTACCCATGTAATTACTTTAATTATACAAAAATTAAAAAATTATTACTCAGTTGTTAAATTATGTTATAGTTTGATATATATAATTATGTAAGATTTGTTTAAATTATTTTATGTGATGATTAATTTTATTTAAATTGGACAGTATTACTTGTAGAAAAATATTAATATAAAAATTGTTTCTCTTTCTCTATCTCTTATTTCAATCTACTTCCACCTGTTTATAAAAGTTGTTTGGCAAATGATGATGATTTAATGCTAAGCTCAAAATCAAAATGGCACGCAACCTTTTGTGAACAAACAGAAATATGCAACTAAAGTTTGCAACTTTGCTTCGTTCCTTCTCAAACAATAATAAAATGAATAAATTCCTTTTTATTTCTTTTAAAGTCCGAATGGACTCTCCAAATGAAGCTTTGGAGAACTTTCCTAGGTTTTTGGTCTCCGGATTTCTATTGTTATCAGTTTTTTCATCATCTATGATGGCAACATTTGTGATAAATGCATCGCCAAATTACTGAAAGGACCACTTGGTAGAGACATGGCTATGCTGATAACCTGAGTGATACGTCAAAGACAAGACACTGTGGTGGGAGACTGGGAGTGCATCGTTGATCAATACTGTTAATGACTGAGTCCAATTTAATAATCCCACTTTAATATTTATTCAAAATAAAAAAATATAATTAATATATTAATTATGCATTTATTATTATAAATAATATATAATTATTTTCATTTAAAATAAAAAATATATCCCCTCCATCTTTTTCCTCCAAAACTCTTCTTCCAAAGTATATTCTAAAAGAAATTTTCAAAATTGTGTTCTATAAAAACTTTTCACTTAGAAAACCAAGCTATATAACTGTTTTATTATTTTATATTTTATGTAGCATGAATTATATTAGTTAAACTTTACATGAATATTATAAAATAATTGAATATTTTTTATTTAACAAGACTCGCATAAAATTTACTTCATAATAAAAAAAAAGTATGTAATTAAAATTTCTCAAATTTAAATCCATGAGTCAAATATCATAGGCATGTTTCCTATATGTGTCGACAAACCATTTGGTTTATCCAAACTTTTTGAAGTTAATGAAATTATTACGTGAGTTGTATTATCTGTTGCTCACGCAACTTTATCATGCCTCCTATTTAAAAAATATAATTTAGACTTTTTTGCAAAAATAAATAAATACATAATTTAGACTTGAATTTTCACAGAATCAACTATGCTTAAAATAAAGGGGAACTTCCTTTTTAAGAAAGGACCCATTAAAGTAGACCTTGGAAGCCTGAAGATAGAAAAAGGCCATAGTACATTTATTTTTACCCTATTTTACTATTTCACAAAAATCATTTACACAAACACACTAATTTCTACAAAATTCTTACATCGAAAAATTAAGCTAGTGAGGCGAGTCACATAGATTTAATATATCGTTAATTATATCTATAAATAAATAATTGATATCTGACATTTTAGAGATTATTTAAAAAAGAAAATTTTGAAAAAGAAGAATAAAATTTATATTTTAAATAAATATATTAAAATAAATATTTAAAAAAATTAAAATATATAAATTAATATATTAACATAAAATTAATATATTAATAGTATATAAAAAATAAATTATATAAAATCTAAAAAAAATATTTTAACTGTACTGAGTAAAAGTTTATTTCATTCCAAAATTACCTCATATTTTATCTCTATTTCTATCTTATATAAACATGTGAACATAATTTATAGAAAGAATATTTCTGAAAGAAAACAAGTGAATTCTAATATCTTTCCTTTTTTTTTTTAAGAAATAAAAATAATATTTTTTAATAAGTAAAGTGAAATTAACATTAAGTCGTCGATATTTGTAAATAAAAAATGAATGGTTAAGATTGATGAATAAAAAAGTTAATAATCGATAGTAGCATATGACTATTTTAGATAATAACATGTTAATGAAGGGTATATGTTAGCTTTATTTTATTTTTTATGTTAAGATGTTAACTTTCTATATATGTTTTTTTGTATGACTGATGTAAAAAGTAGCTATGTTAACTTTCTACAACATTAGTTGCTTTATAAAATCGATGTAGAAAATATACGTTAACTTTTTATGCATCAGTTCTCTAATAAGATTAATGTAAAGAACAGTGATGTTAGCTTTTTACATGAGTTCCTCTACAGAACGGATTTAAAAAGTAAAATTTTAAAAAAAAATTACGTCACAGAAAGGAGACAATAGTTAATCAGGTCACAAAATAGAGTCAAAAGGTAATCAACATAATCTATCTGTCTGTTAGTTCAAATATAAAGCTGAGAATCAATCTTAAGTCTGATATGAGCTGTGACTATGTAAAAGATTATGAGTTTGTTGCAATTTTTTACGCAAATTTCTAATCAAATCTTGATTTTTTTAAGCAAACTGTGTCATATTTCAAAGATAAAAAAAGAACATAAACATATTCAATAAGAATTCTTAGTAAATCTATGTTTGTCATATTTTAATATATGTGTCCTTTTATTACAGAATATGAATAAGGATGTAAACTTGTTGATTGTATCTCTAGAAAATTTATGCTTCTAATTTTTTTAGTATTTTTTCATATTTTTTTAAGTCTAAGCTATGTTATTAATGCTGAAGAAAAAAAGAGAGAAGACAAAAAAGAGGAACCGATTGAGAAAAAAAAAAAATTACTAATATATCATTTTTAAATATAACTTATATTACCACTTTTACTTCTTAATAAAAATATATCAGAATTCACCGATAAAACAACTTTGACCCGTCAAAAAAGTTATATGTAATAAATTAAAATTCTTCCTATTCGTTAACAAAAAGAAGAAAACTCCTCTAATAGAAATTGCTAAAAAAAAGTATATTTCCTGCCTCAACCATCAAATAAAAAATGTCTCTTTCTTTATGAATTCAAAAAAGCTACTTATCTGATTCATACTTATTTTGGTTCTGCTTTTATAAAAATTGCCCTTAATGTAGGAAAAGAAAATGTAATGGGCATCCTTATCAATAATCAAAATCTTCACGCTGGGATCAGAACCCCACTCCAAGAGTTTTGGTCCAACATCTTTTTTTATCATAGTTAATTTAGTCTCACTTTGATCAAGATCATAATATATTCACTTTGGTTAGAGAGAGGTAGAGAACATGATACTATTTCGTATGTACTTTGGGTCATTTGGCGTCAAGAAGATTGTCCAGATAGTCATCCAAGCCTGTTCCAATAGACAGCAGTTTTTCACCTTTGTTCAAGTTGTTACAATACGCCACAAAAAATGTTCAAGAAAATTCAAGCTCAATCACCATTATATGAAATTTTTTTGTGTACATACCTTATTCTAAAATTGAAACTGCCCTAAATCTTGCCACAATTAAGATCCACGTGATTTGTAAAAAGCATTATGAATGTGTAGTCCACCCAATGAACAGTTCAAAACTTCAAATCAAGTCAATTGTGGTTTAGCTTGTATTTGCTTAACCGAGACTAAATTTACTTAAGCAAATTTAAAACTAGATGTCAAGTTCCGCATTAGCTATCCGGATCCATAATAACAGTTCAAAACTTCAAATCATGTCAATTGTGAAAGTTGTTGGCATGCTAACAAACAAGACAGCTTAGTGATGATTGCGGTCAAAAGCTATCTGTGAACATTTTAAAAGGCAAAAGCAAAAGAAAAACGGATAAGATTCCTTGCTTTGCAGAGCTAGAAATTGTTTTGATTCCTGATGCCTATTTATCAAAAGCATTTCTCGAAGCAATTTATTCAACCTTTGTGGTTGGGATATTCTTTATTAAAAAAATAAATTAAGTGTTGTACTCTTCAAATGTAATATTTATTTAAAAATCACATTAATTATCAAGTTGAAGAATGCTAGCAACAAACATTTTTATTGTTAACTACAATTTATTAAATTATGGATAATTTTTGCAATTTTTAATGAATTTTAACAAATAAAAAGGAATCTTAGAGAGTATATTATTAATAATTTTCAACTCAAGTAATTAACATTTATTATTTTTGGTAATAATTATTTTGAAAATTATGTCTATAATAATTTTTAATTGGTTAACAGTGTAATTTTTTTTTTTGAATTGTTAATGTATCAAAACTAAACTCATATAATAAAGAGACTCATTATAAGTTTGATAGTAATTTAATTAAATTTATTATATTTATTTGTAATAATATTTATATCTACTTTCAACTTTATATACATATTTTTGTTATCTTAATTTGATATACTAAGCAACTCAATTTTTTTATTTCTAATCTGATTTATTTATTTTTATTAAAAACTCACGATTTAAGTCCAAGATATACTGAAATAAATTTATTTGATTTATTTTTTTATTTCACATAAAAGTACTATTTTTTCACGGTATCGGTATATTTAATAAATGGTAAATGCAAACAATTGTAGGTATTTATTAAAGAATTTTTTTAAAAAAAATAAAAAAAACTTATTCTCATATTTTTAATACACTTTTATATGATATTTTTTAAAAATTTATTAATTATCAATTTTTAAATAATACTCCAAAAGTATTAATTAATGAGATTCTTAATATAATTACCTGTCCAATATACATTTGTGTGAATCATTAAAAAAGGTGAAAAAAAAATAATGTTGACTATAAAATCATTTAATTAACGAGTTATAGAATGTTTGAATTTATAATTTTAACTAAACAAAATTAATATTATATATATCCTTAAAATATATAAAAATATTCACTTTTAACAATATATAAAACATCATTATTTTTGTGTGATTTGGATGGTGTCTCCAAAATCATTTTCATACAGGGAGGGGGACACATCTTATCAAGCATCACAACCCATAAAGACAAACAATTAACCCTATAAATTTCCTCTACCTTCCTAACTTGCTCCTTCATTTCTGGCATAATCATGACTGTATCTTCCTCCCAATATGCAATTATTTTTGCATGGTCCCTATGTGCATTCATGCTGAACACATGCACGTGCAACTTTGAATTTCACTGTAACTACAAAGACAGAAACCCTCTCTTAAACTTGAAGCAAGGAGTCATAGATCCATCCATGAGGCATCCCCTCTTCATGGTTCACTGAACAAGATTGCTGTAAATGGAGAGGAGTGAACTGTGACAGCATCACAAGTAGAGTCACTGAACTCAACTTTCATGTTCTACAACTCTTTATCCAACTTATGCTGACAGAGTGGATAAATCACACTGCCTTCCAGATTCTATCCATCTATCTTTTGTGGACTTCGAATTTCTAAATTACTTGGATTTGAGCAATAATGATTTCTTAGCTATCCAGTTTGACTATGTTAATAGTCAAAATGGACATAATTTATCTCTTGCTACCCCTCCTCGTCAGTGTCTGAACTCTTCAGTTCTTTGTTATCTTGATTTATCACTTAATGAGAATCTTGCCATTGATAATCTTCAATGGCTTTCTCATTTTTCTTCCTTGGAATATCTTGACCTTGGTGGTGTTGATCTTCACAATGAAACTAACTGGCTCCAATTAGTGACTATGCTTCCATCACTTTCACAGTTGCACCTGAGTAATTGTCAACTTGAAGACTTGAGTCCGTCTCTTCAATATGCAAATTTTACTTCACTTCAAGTTCTTCATCTTTCTAAAAATAAATTTCACTCAGAATTGCCTAAATGGTTATTCAATCTTACTTGTGGTATCTCAAATATTTATCTTCATGATAATATTTTAAAAGGCCAACTTCCTAAGGCATTGCTAAATCTTCGACACTTGGAATCCTTGAACTTGGTACATAATAACTTCAATGGACCAATTCCAGATTGGTTAGGCCAACTTGAACATCAACAACATCTTCTTCTTTCTAGAAACATGTTTTCTGGATCTATTCCTGAAAATTTGGGAAATCTATCATCCCTAATTGTCTTGACTGTTGATGAAAATGAATTGAGAGGGGTTGTGTCTGAGAGAAATTTTGCAAAACTCTCGAAGTTAAAGGTATTGGATATACACTTATCACCACCATTAATCTTTGATTTTAACCCCCACTGGGTTCCTCCTTTTCAACTTAAAGAAATAAGTTTAGGATTTGCGGCTCCTAAACTTCCTGCATGGTTAGACACACAAAGATCTCTTGTTTCACTTGGTATATTTGACTCATCATTTGATGCTCGAGATTAGTTTTGGAATTTTGTGTCAACAAGGACTGTGCTAAGGTTAGAAAGGAATTCAATAAATTGGGACATGTCAAATGTGCTGTTGAACTCTACATTCATAATTTTGTCAAGAAATAATTTGAAAGGTGGCGTGCCTTAAATATCTTCAAATACAATTGTTGTCTATATGCCAAACAACTCATTCTCAGGAACCATATCCCCCCTTTTGTGTGATCATAAGATGATGAATGGGAAAGTAATTTGAAGTACTTGGACATCTCTAATAATCATTTATATGGAGGGCTTACAAATTGCTGGAAGAATTGGAAATCATTAGTTTTTGTTAACGTGGGAAGCAATAACATAACAGGAAAGATACCCCCATCAATGGGTTTATTATCTAATCTTACCTCACTACATTTGCATGAAAATAAGCTTTGTGGAGAGATACCTCCCTCGCTACAAAACTGCCACTCTTTATTGGTCTTTAATGTTCGTGAAAATAATTTTTCAGGATATATTCCTAATTGGATAGCAAAGAGTGCAAAGGCTCTCCAACTAAGGTCCAATCAATTCAATGGTAACATTCCTCCACAAATATGTCAGATGTCTTCCCTCATTATCTTGGATATTGGAGATAATAGAATCTCAGGACATATACCCAATTGCCTAAATAACATCAAATCATTTGTTATCAACAGTGCTTCCAGTAGTAAGCTTACTTTTTACTTTAATTTCGGTGATGCGTATTACTCCTTTGTGGAGATTCTTGAGCTGGTTACTAAAGGTCATGGATTAAACTAGATGCAAAACTTGCATTTTATGAGCTTAATTGATCTTTCAAGCAATGATCTATCTGGAACAATACCTCCTCAAATGTTTAGCCTTGTTGGATTGTCCTCCTTGAACTTGTCCTTTAATAAATTAGAGGGGAAGAATACCAGAAGAGATTGGCAACATGAAAAACATGGAGTCCCTTGATTTTTCAACAAAACGACTTATGGGTGACATTCCTCAAGGCATGTCCAAGTTGTTCTTTCTTAGTTACTTAAACTTATCATTCAACAATTTCACAGGCAAAATACCATCAAGCACACAACTTCAAGGGTTCGGTGAACTCAGTTACGCAGGTAATTGTGATCTTTGTGGACCACCACTTCCAAAAATTTGTTTGCAGGATGCTAAATCTAAAGACACAAAGCCATTAGATGAAGAAGTGGATGAATCCGAACTTTTGTCATGGTTTTATATTGGTATAGAATCTGGATTTGTTACAAGCTTTTTGGCAGTTTGTTTTTATCTTTTCTTAAATAGAAAATGAAGACAAAGTTTAATCCGTTGTTACAAGCTTTTATATGGTTTTTCTCTTTTATATGTCATGGTTTTATATTTGTTACAAGCTTTTGTCATGGTTTTTATCTTTTATATGCAGTGAATTATAACAATATGTATAGTTTAATCCGTTGGTGGAAAGGAGAGAATATGAAGCACTTAACGTGCGTATGAGCGGTATAATGGGTTTCCCATATTCAGTAAAAAAAGTAGAAGATATTATTCTCCTGGTGAAGAGTTCTTATCCTCTAGACAAAAACTGCTAGTTACGTTGAAGCTTATAATTAACCTATACATACATTTACATTCTACTCTTTTGACTCTCTCTTGAAGTTACCAAACCCGTAATACAATAGTATTATTTTGGACAGACTTGTTTAAATGAGTTGGGTGTAAAAAGAACAAAGTGCGATTATAAAGACTTAACGTCATTATTTACCTTTGTAGGTATTGTTTACTTAATTTGCAGGTTCTTTTCTTTTGTAATTTAGGTCCAGTGATAATAAGTATGTATGTCCCAAAAATAATAGGAGATTCTCTTTCTCTCTTTGATTCTGTTGTGTACTTGTGTGATAATGAGTATATATATTTTTTCACACTCTCATTTTTCATTATTGTTAAAATATAAAATAAATAAACTATAATAAAAATCAAATATTTTGCTAAAATAGGGAGGACAAAATCGGTTCCTGTCACACTCTATTGCCGTGCCTATATGCAAATAAATATGATGAAGCCTTATAAGAGAAATTTTTTTTTCAACCTTTTTTTATGTATGTATATATATAAATTTTTGATAAATTTATAATTTTCTTTCCAAATTTATCTAGTAAAAACTAAAAGATTTATTTTAATAAAGGGTTAACTGTAATATTTTTTGTTTTTTTAATTTAGCATACGTGCGATCTTGATGTACTTAACTTTTTCTTAAGTTAATTAAGTTTTTCAATTTTAAAATTATACAAATTGTTTTATTTTTATCATGTATTGATTGGAGTAATACTTTTAAAACTATATTTTAAAACTATCACTCTAAAAATATATTTTAAAAATTATATTTTTAACTTTTATAAACTTTTAAAAAATATAACTCTACAAATTAATATATTTTAAACAAAAATTAATTTATTGCTATTCTTTTCTTTAATTATTTTAAAAAAATACACAAATTATATATTTTTCTTCATTTAAAAATTAATATTTTAAAAATTAATATTTCTATTTTTTATATTTTTAAAAAATTCTCAATCTAAAAATTAACATTTTAAAAAAAATATTTTATTATTATTATTTTTTTTAAAAATTAACATCACACTTTTTTAAAAATATTTATTTTTTTTATTTTATTCATTTAATAATTAATATGAAGAAAAATATTCTAATAGACTAACCCCAAATGGTGAAACTCATAAAATCAAGATTAAGAGGGTTTAGAAAAACCTTCTAACCCTTCCCCTCCAATTAATTAACTCTCAAATAACAATTAACAACCCCCTAACCCCTCCTTTTCCTTTCTAAACTCAATTCCCAAACAAACCCTAAAGATCTACTTGCATTTTCCTTCTTATATGATTATGCAACAAACAAGAAACTGAAATTATTCTTACTTGAGTTTTAACTGGATAAAATTACTTATTCCTCAAAATAGCTCACCGTCCTTTTAGTAACTCAAAACATTTTTCAATTACATTTCTAGCAAAAGAATGTTTCATATTAAAATACTCTTGCGGAGTTGTAAGTTGCAAGCCATGCCTTTATTCTTTTAAATGGTACATTTGTCCTTTATAAGGAGTTAAGAACCCTTCCCCATTCATATATTTAGCATCACATAGGTAGTAAAAACCTATTCTAAAATATGCAACTATAAGTAATTTGATTGTCACCAATATATAAGGACTTTGAAGTGCATATTAATTATACCTTGTGGAACTTTTAGGCCATTCCTACGAGATATGACATCTCTTAGAACCCTAACATATGAAGTTGAACCCCCTATCCAGGTAAGTGATAAGTCTGTAATTAGGCCCTCTTCTACGACCCATATATTTATGTTTAGCTTTTATTTTAATTGAATTTTACACTGATTTATATGTTAAATGTGCAGTTTAGTTTGAAGAGGCTACAAATAGATTTTGGGTGCATTTTGAACCCAAATTGATGAAAGATCAGAGTTTCGTAGCAGTTAACACACCCGAACCCTTTCAACAAGGCCTCGCACGACCGTACTCATGTGCGAGAAGCCTAATTATAAAGAGCTTTTAGGGTTTGAAAACCCTATAAAAGAAATACCTTAGGCATCTTGTTAGACACACTGATTACATCTTGTCTTTTATTCTCTGATACACTTCTCATCTTATTTCTCTTGTATAAGATCGTGGGAATACTCTTGGCGGGACTTGGAGCTTCAAGCGATTGTATTTGAAGATCGGAAACTCATCTCACATTTTAGTTTGCTATTTCTTTTGATTATGACTTTGTTTATGATTGTTTTATTTCTTTCCTTTAACATAGGTAACTAAGTTCATAGCTAGGGATATGAGAATTAGTGTTCATGAATTTTTGAATTTTTGAAGTTTGAATCTATATATGGTTTCCGTTTGTGATTAGCTTTTATCCTATTGCGCATAATTATAATCCTAATTAATTATATTGTTAGACAATCGTATCTCGATTAGTTAATGGATCTATAGGATAAAATGAGATAAAGGATTAGGTGGATCAAACCAATCTTTCTCTTCCAATCGTTATTAAATTAACAAGTTCATAAGTACTTTATACTTTCTTTAATTGATGTCTTGCATAATCATTAGGGATATTAATTTAGAAAAAAAATATTAATATTGCATGATCATTGAGTATTAATAGTATTTGTATGAATGATTGATAATCACAAGGAAATCAAATTTAGAGTTAAATAAAAAAATAAAATAAAGGATTGAATGAGAAAACTCATATGCCCTAGGTTTCTCTCCTGTAAGTTCAACCAAGACTTGTGTTGTTTTATTTGCTTTTATTCATAATTAATTTTATAATTAAATTTCGATTCTTATTAAATTTCAGATCTTTTAGGCTTAAACGATTGAATTAAGAAATTCTTAATAATTAAAAATTAATCCTTATTTTAAAACTTTTTATTACTCCTCGATAGGCACATCTGCCCAACGAACAACAAGACATAAATAAATTGTATATTTTGAGAACAAACTCCCAATACGTTGGTTGCTAATTCTTTCTTTCTTGTTCTGTATCTAGGTTTATTAGCTTCTAAAACATTAACCTTGATATATGGTCCATCTAGTGCTCCTAAACAATTCTACATTTAACAAAAGAAAACAGCCATAATAACAATTATTAAAAAATGATAAATGAAATTATCATGGTTTTTTATTGAAATTTTCAAAATTTACCTTGAACCACTTTCACCGGCTAGAACCACATTTATCGTTTCTACATGAACCATTAAACTTGTGATAATCTGCATCTTCTTTGTATTTTGCAATTGATCCATGGATTGTAAAATTAACAAATAACTTTGGCACATAAAAACATAACAAATTAAAATTATTCTTTGTCTAATATTTATAACAAAAGAAAAATGCAGCAAAGAAGGGTACAAGATATACCATACAAATTACAAGAAGTGTAGTAAACAATCAAAAGAAATAAAATATACAGAGAAAACAATATCTCTTAATTCATATAACTAAACACCTAAGAATGAGATACTACCAAAACGACAACAGGAATTAAACCAGCAACCATCAGATTCGCACAACCATAGGAAGCAAATAATTATTGTACAAAAATTAAAATTAGGAAAAATAAGCCTAGGCAAAAGAAACAAAAAAAAGAAGAAGAAAGATTATGCAAAATATACATAAAACTATAAGCAAAAGAGAATGATGAGAAAAAAAAAGACACAAATCACAAACAACAATGTAAGCCAAAAAATAAAAATAAAGAAGGAGGAGAGCAGTGCAAGCAAATAATGTCAATTGAAAGAGAGAAATTAACAAAAATAAGAGCATATACTTACCAAAGAGTAAAAACAGAGCAGCTATGGAGGAAAGAATGTGAGAGAAACCAGTGAAGTAGAGAGAAGAGAGAGTGCAAAATTAATTTGAAATTGATAAAGTGAAGTAAGGTAAGGAGGACATTTTTGTCTAAAAATTTTAAATTCTTGAAAAAGTTAAAGATACTTAAAAATTTCAATTTCTTTACAATTCAAGTTTTATGAGAATCTCAAAATTAAAACATTTTATACCAAACACCTCCTAAGAATATTTAAATTCATAGAAAATATCTTTGAGAACCTTTGTTACTACACTATTTCATAATTAGAATTTTTTATCCTCCAATGAGGCTTTAATGTTTTCTTTCTAATTTGATAAAAAGAGAATAAAAAATTGTCTAATTTGATATATTGAAAATTATGATTACACTTTTGTTTCTAATCCTCTTAACTTAAATCTTATTTTCATTTATTATATCTATTTTACTTTTTATTATTAGTCTAAAACTCAATAAAATTAAATCACTTATATTAGTTTATATAACTGTAAAAAAGTATATAAATATTATAAATAATATGTAGTCTATCTTATATTATTAAAAATATAAAATTTCTAACATTCACATATTCAGTAAATTCAAATATTGTAATTATTTCTAACATCCAATTATTTGCGTTCAAGGGATTGTTCTGAGCATTCTTGTCGTCTACAAAAGCTGGTTGTTATATTGAAGCTTATAAACATTACGTTTACATCCTGCACTCTCTCTTTTGTTTGTTTGTTGATCAATTATGGAATTTGCAGTAACTATAACCCGGGATCCAATAGTATTATTTTGGACAAACTTGCCTAATTGAGTTCAGCGAAAAGAGATCAAAATGCCATTATAAAAGCTCAATAACTGCTAAAGGTTTTTCTCACATAATATTTGAAGTTCCAAACGAATATTGTTATTATTACCCGTGCAATTATTATTTAATTTACTTAATTTGCAGGTACTTTTGGTGTGTATCCTTCAACAAGATTTGAGTTTCAACTCTACCTATCAGGGTGTAAAAAAGTGATGCTACTGAAGACTTTACTTATTAAGGACTTTTAAGGTTCTGGATGTTCTTTCTTATGTAGATGCGTGGTATCAGACATGTTTCTTATTCGTAATTTACGTCGAGTAATAACTAGATATACTAACATGCAAGTGTCAAATAATAGGGATTATCTCTCATTCTCTCAAAAAAAATTTGGGCTCAAGAAGATTGTCCAGATAATCATCTAAGCTTCCAATAGACAGCAATTTTTCACCTTTGTTCAAGTTGTTGACAATACGCATCAAAAAATGTTCAAGTTGTTCACAATGCTCAATCACCATATTTGAAATTTTTTTGCATACATACTTTATTCTGACATTGAAATCTCATACTGCCCTAAATCTTGCCACACTTAAGATCCACGTGATTTGTAAAAAGTATTATGAATATGTAGTCCACCCAATGAACCGTTCAAAACTTCAAATCATGTCAATTGTGAAAGTTGTTGGGATGCTAAAAAACAAGACAGCTTAGTGAATGCGGTCAAAAGCTATTTGTGAACATTTTAAAAGGCAAAAGCAAAGGAAAAACGGATAAGATTCCATGCCTTGCAGAGCTAGAAATTGTTTTGATTCCTGACGCCTATTTGTCAAATAAATGCATTTCTAAAAACAATTTATTGAACTATTGTGGTTGGGATATTCTTTATTAAAAAGATAAATTAAGTGTTGTACTCTTCAATTGTAATATTTATTTCAAAAAACTCATGTATCACTATCTACTCTGCAATTGACAGATATTACTTAACGTGTTTCATAATTTTAGAATGTGATTCACGAAATTTAAAACTTGAAATTTAAAATTTAAAATAGACAGTTAAAAAATATATTTTACATTAATAATTGTAGTTTCTTTTCTTTTTACCTTTCTTTTTATTGTTTATATTCATCCTTTTCTTTTCTCTTTAATTTTTTATATGTATTTTTTTTGTAATTTTTACAATTTACTTCGGATGTATGAAATTTATTTGTATAGAGCAAGTATTGTATTATGTTGATTTTTTTTTAATTGATGTGGCAAAAGAATTTTTAAACAAGATATTAGTTTGATAATAGTATAAGTTTGGGAATTTAATTTTTAAAATGGATTTATTTGATAAATAAGTTGGACTCCTGGTTGTACAAAATATTCAAAGAGGCATCATTTATTGAAGTTAGCCTTCACTTGTGAGCATATACAATTGCAATAGTTGTGAGAAAATTGTGTTCTTTTTCCGAATTTAAGCTCTGAATCAAGATATCCTGTGATGAATAATACTAGTTGTTTACCTCTCTGTTACCTGATTACTTAAATTTAACATTTATTATATTATATAAATAGTATCTTGATCGCCGCAGTGGAGAGGGAAAAAAATATATAAATAAATATAAATAATTTTCGTAAAGGAGGGGCACATTTTTTCATGCAACCTGTTCAGTACAATGTAAGAAAATTTAGAGTATGTTTGTTTTTAATGCTTTTTTGTTATTGAATTATATTTTATCATAGACAAAGGATATATATGGCGACTCTTCACTTCATATAAATTAAATAGAGTTCCCCTTGAGCTTATGCACATTTGTTTTTGGGGCACAATCATGAATACATCTCCTCCTCAGTATGCAATCACATTTGCTTGGTTGCTATGTGTAATATTATTTATGTTCAACACGGGTTCTTGGAGCTTCATGATCCGTTGTAACCAGAAAGACAAGCATGCTCTCTTATACTTCAAGCAAGGAGCCACTGATCCATCAGGTGTGCTCTCATCATGGTCCACTACAAAAGATTGTTGTGAATGGAGGGGAGTGACTTGTGACAACATCACAAGTAGAGTCACTGAACTCAGCCTCCCATGTTCTACAGCTCTTCATCCATCTTATGTTGACAAAGTGGATAAATCACACTGCCTTACAGGTTCTATTCATCTATCTTTTGTGGACTTTGAATTTCTAAATTACTTGGATTTGAGCAATAATGATTTCTTGGCTATCCAATTTGACTATGTTAACAGTCAATATGATCATAATCGATCTCTTACTACCCCTCCTCGTCAATCTGTGAACTCTTCAGTTCGTTATCTTGATTTATCAGTTAATGAGAATCTTGCCATTGATAATCATCGATGGCTATCCCACCTTTCTTCCTTGGAATATCTCAACCTTGGTCGCATTGATCTGCACAAGGACACTAATTGGCTTCAATTAGTGACTATGCTTCCATCACTTACAGAGTTGTACCTGAGTCGTTGTCAACTTAAAGACTTGAGTCCGTCTCTTTAATATGCTAATTTTACTTCACTTCAAGGTCTTCATCTTTCCTACAATGAATTTGACTCAGAGTTACCTAAATGGTTATTCAATCTTTCTAGTGGCATTTCTTATATTAATTTTAATGGTAATTCTTTGAAAGGCCAACTACCGAAGGCATTGCCAAATCTTCGATATCTGAAATCCTTGATTTTGGCATTCAATAACTTCAAGACCAATCTCAGATTGGCTAGGACAACTTGAACTTTTGCAAGAGCTTTATTTTACAGGGAACAAGTTTTCTGGATCTATTCCTGAAAATTTGGGAAATCTGTCATCCTTAATAACCTTGTGATGTCGGCAGCAATAATTTGACCGGGGTTGTCTCACAGAAATTTTGCAAAATTATCAAAGTTGGAGGAATTGAATATATGCCTATCACCACCGTTAATCTTTGATTTTGATCCCAATTGGGTTCCTCCTTTTCAACTTGACAACATATGTTTAACAATTGGTGGTTCAAAACCTCCTGCATGGCTATACACACAAAGATCGCTTGATTTTAATTGCACTCATCATTTGAGGCTCATGGTGAGTTTTGGAATTTTGCATCTACGACAAAGGTCCAGCTAGCTTTAGAATATAATTCAATAGATGGGGACATATCAAATGTGGTATTGAACACTACATTCATAATTCTGTCAAACAATTATTTGAAAGGTGGTTTGCCCCGACTGTCATCAAATGTGGCCTTGGTTGATTTATCAAACAACCTATTGTCAGGAACCATCTCTCCCCTTTTGTGTGATCCTAAGATGCTGAATGGGAAAAGCAATTTGTTATATTTGGATATCTCTCACAATCATCTATCTGGAGGGCTTACAAATTGTTGGAAGAACTGGAAGTCATTACTTCATATTAACTTGGGAAGCAATAACTTAACAGGAGAGATACCCCCATCAATGGGCTTGTTATCTAATCTTACTACGTTGCATCTGCATGAGAATGAGCTCTATGGTGAGATAACTCCCATGCTGCGGAATTGCCCTCTTCTGGTCTTTAATGTTCGTGAAAATAACTTCTCAGGAAATATACCAAACTGGATACCACAGAGTGCAAAGGCTCTCCAATTAAGGTCCAATCAATTCAGTGGTAACATTCCACCACAAATATGCCAAATGTCTTCCCTCATTATTTTGGATATTGGAGATAATAGAATCTCAGGACATATACCCAATTGCCTAAATAATATCACATCTTTAGTTTTCAACAATGCTTCTATTAGTAAGCTTACTTTTTACTTTGATCTCGGTGGTGCATTTTACTTCTTTTTTGAGACTCTTAAGCTTTTTACCAAGGGTCAAGCATCAGAATACGTAAAAACCCTGCACTTTATGACCTTAGTTGATCTTTCCAGCAATGATCTATCTGGAACAATACCTCCACAACTGTTTAGCCTCATTGGATTGCATTCCTTGAACTTGTCCTTCAATAAATTAGAGGGAAGAATACCAGAAGAGATTGGCAACATGAAAAACATGGAGTCGCTTGATTTATCATCAAACCAACTTTGGGGCGAAATTCCTCAGAGCATGTCCAGTCTGTCCTTTCTCGGTGTCTTAAACTTGTCATTCAACAATCTCACGGGCAAAATACCATCAGGCACACAACTTCAGGGGTTTACTGAACTCAGCTACATAGGAAATCGTGATCTTTGTGGACTTCCACTCAAAAACATCTGCTTGCCGGATGGTCAATCAAAAGACACAAAGCCAATGGATGAGGATGAGGATGAATCTGAATTTTTGTTATGGTTTTACATTGGTATAGAATGTGGATTTGCCGTGGGCTTTTTGGGATTCTGCTGTTGCATTTTCTTAAATAGGAAATGGAGACACGCTTACTTCAAATTCCTTTATAGCTTAAAAGATCGACTTTGTCGTGGTTGTCATCGAGATTAACTCCTTTCCGTTGAGATTGAACAAATTGCATGCATAGCCTAGTGGTAAGTAGAACCTTTCAATCGAGATTTTCATGAGTTGTTATACTAAATAAGTTTCTCTTTCCATCTTATATGTTTTATATTTTTCATTGCTAGTGTTCTACATTACCTGTACTATTCTGGTTAAGTATCATTATATTTTCTAGGTATAGTTATTTGTTATTATCTATCACTATCATATCAACAGTATAACTCTTGAAACAAACCTATGCGTAGTATGATTTACTGTTGGATAATTTCTATAATAGAACTGTACTATCATATCAACAATATAACTCTTGAAACAAACCTACGCGTAGTATAATGAGATTCACTGATGGATAATTTCCATAATAGAACTGTATTAAACCAACTTTATAGTATGCTAAGTTATTAAAGATCAAAGATAGTTCTAAAAATATCTAGAGCATGTTTGAGAAGAAGTTTTTGGAGAAGAGGGAAGAGAGGATATATATTTTAATTTTAAATTAAAAAAATTATATATTATTTATGATGACAAATACATTATTAATATATTAAATTTTTATTAATATATTAATTTATGTTTTATTTTTAAAAAATATTTTTAAATATATTCATTTAAAATATAAATTTATGTCATCTCCTCTTCTCTTCTTTAAAATTCTCCTTCTAAAATAATTCCTTAAAGTTACAGATAATAATCATTGAGAACTATTCGGTACAATAATATTCTATAATTAGAATTTTTTATCCTATAATAAGGCTGTCATATTTTTTTTAATTTGATATGAAGAAAATAAAGAATTGTCTAATCAGATGTATTGAAAATCAAGAGTACACTTTCATTTTTAATCCTATTAAGATTCTTGTTATTTTTAAAGGACTTAAATCTTATTTTTACTTATTAAATTTATATCACTTTTTATTATTAGTTTAAAATTCATTAAAATTAAATCACGTAAAAATATATAAATATTATTAATAATATGTAATCTATCTTATATTATTAAAAATATAAAATTTCTAACATTCACATATTCAGTAAATTCAAATATTGTAATTATTCCCCTGCTAGAAAGCTCTTCCTCTGCGACCATATTCCACATGCAGAGGGTAACTTTCCTACAAATTAGCTCGTTCATCTAATTATTTGCATTCAGGGGATTGTTTTGAGCATTCTTGTGGTATACAAAAGCTGGTTGTTGTTAAAAAAAATTTTAATCTATTATGTAATTTCTATTATGCAATGATTATTATGAAATTACCTTTTCTCTTTTAGATCTTGAATTACGTTGCTCTCACAACACAATATATGGTTCTCACACAATTAAGGGTTTAAAGAGCACTAACATAAATCCATTGTTCCTTGATGTTATCTCTCTCTTTGATGTCGTTGATTCCTTGGTATTTTCTCCAACTCTTCCTTCCTCTTTTAGCTCCTCTCGGATGGTTGAGAGAAAATTCTTTTATGCATTTACTGTGAGCTCACTCAGAAACTGTGAAAGTGAAAAATAGAAAATGTCGTAACTTTTATTTGATAACCGCTCTTTTATTTATATGAAGGGAGAAGAGAGGGTTTCCTTATAATTGTATTTATAATTATACCCTCAATGACTCTATATTTTATATTTAACCACCATCACATTAAATCATTAATTAGAGTCATACTATAAGTTACATAAGCCACTATAATAAGATTATTAAAATAATCTAACAATCTTCCACTTGGCCTATGTGACGACTTGAAGATTCAATGAACTGTAAGTACGCATATCATTGATAATATAAAGTCATCATCTTTTAATTATTTAAGTTGATCAGATCATGGCGGTCACAAGTCATTTGACAACATGATTCCTTCCAAGTATCACAGAACCAACCCAAATCAAAATAGCTTTAATCAGTCATACTACAGACTGTAACTCTGACGTGTTTTTAATACTCAACCTGTTATCAAACTCAAACCATACATGTACATTAACACAATTCAAATAATAAGTAAACAAGCAGAAACAATACTTTTATTGAATTCTTAAAATGTCTACAATAATATGAGCAAACAATCTATACACATATATGTAAATCATACAATCATGCTAACAAGGACTTGTCTATAATGCTCATTCTACCAACATGGCCAAAAAATATTTTAGGGGGCAATCCTTTAGTTAACGGATCTGCTATCATTAAATCAGTACCAATATGCTCAATAGACACTTCCTGTTTTTGCACTTCTTCTTTCACTGATAAGTATTTTAAGTCCATATGTTTTGCTCCCTTTGAATACTTATCATTCTTAGAGAAGAAGACGGCTGCAAAATTATCACAGTACATTCGCAGCGGCTTTTCTATATTATTAACAAATACCAAGCCCTAAGACAAAGTTCCAGAACCACAAAGCATGAATAGTAGCCTCAAAGCATGCCACAAATTCCGCTTCCGTGATAGACGTAGCAATATTGGATTCCTTTCTGCTCTTCAATGAAATCGCACCTCCAGCTAACAAGAAGATGTAGCCAAAGGTCGATTTCCTTGAGTCTACACATCTAGCATAATCTGAATCTGAGTAGCCAACCACTTCCAATTGACTAGATCTCCTATAAGTAAGCATGTAGTCCTTGGTGCCTTGTAAATACCTAAGAACTTTCTTTGCAGCCTTCCAGTGGTCCATTCCGGGATTACTTTGATATCAGCCTAACATTCCAACAGCAAAACTGATATCAGGCCGAGTGCATGTCTGAGCATACATTAAACTCCCGACCACTGATGCATAGGAAATAGATTCCATTGCTTTCTGCTCCAACTCATTATTGGGACATTGCATTTCACTAAACTTGTCTCCGTTTTGAATTGGAACTACCCCTTATGAGCACTTTTCCATTTTAAATCTCTCTAATACTTTGTTGATGTAACATTTTTGAGACAATCCCAGTAATCCTTGTAATCTATTACGGAATATTTCTATTCCAATCACATAGGAAGCCTCACCCATATCTTTCATCTCAAAGTTCTTAAAGAGAAATTCCTTTACATCATGCAACAGCCCAACATCATTAGTAGTAAGAAGAATGTCATCAACATACAGGACTAAAATGATGAACTTACTCTCACTGACCTTCATATAGATACACCGATCAACAATGTTCTCTACAAAATCATATGACGTGATGGTACCATTGAACTTAAGATACAATTGTCTGGAAGTCCGTTTCAACCCATATATTGATTTCTTTAACTTACACACCATACTTTCTTTACCTGCGATCAAGAAGCCATCTGGCTGATCCATATAAACTTCCTCTTCTAAGTTATCATTTAGAAAGGCGGTCTTTACATCTATTTGGTGGAGCTCTAAGTCATAATGAGCCACTAAAGTCATAACAATTCTTAAAGAGTCCTTCTTTGAAACTGGAGAAAATGTCTCTTTATAGTCTATGCCATCCTTTTGAGTGTATCCTTTAGCAACAGGTCTAGCCTTGTATCTCTCAATGTTGCATTTTGAGACATGTTTGGTCTTAAAGATTCACTTGCAACCAACTCGTTTTGAACCTTTAGGCAACTCGACTAGATCACATACCTTATTCTCACTCATTGATTTTAACTCTTCTTTCATGGCATTCAACCACTTTTCAGAATTGTAACATTTCATGGCTTGCTTAAATGAGATTGGATCATCATCAATACTCAAGTCACATTCATGCTCAAGTGAGTAAATCACATAGTCATTCAAAATAGTCGGTCTTTTCTGCCTTACAGACCTCTTTAATGCTATCTCTTGTGGTTCACCTTCCTCTTGCTCACTTGTGACTTGCGCATTTTCAGCTGGTTCATCCTCTATATGTTGTTCTTGTGGGTTTGAAACATTAACTTGTTGTCTTTTTATGTTGTGTAACCGTGATACAATAAGAGGAACAACAACTAGAGAAGAGACACCAACTACAGGAGTTTTCGCACGTGTCTCTTTAATTTCTACCTTTCATGTTTCATTACTCCCACTAAATTGACCATTTTCAATGAACCTTGCATTTTCAGACTCAACTATTCTCATACTATGGTTAAGACAGTAAAATCTGTACCCCTTTGATTTTTCAGGATAGCCGATGAAATAATCACTTATAGTTCTAGCATCAAGCTTCTTTTCATGTGGATTATGCATTCTTACTTCTGCTGGACAACCCCAGACATGAAAATGTCTTAAACTGGATTTTTTTCTGTCCACAGTTCATAAAAAGTCTTTGGAACTGCCTTACTAAGAACTCTATTAAGCAGATACGCAGCAGTCTTTAATGCGTACATCTACAAAGACATAGGTACAGAACTGTAACTCAACATACTCCTAACCATTTCCATGATAGTACAATTCCTCCTTTCAGTCACACTATTTTGTTATGGTATACCAGGTATAGTATACTGTGCACGTATGCCTCAACTTTCCAGAAGTTTCACAAATGGACCTGGACATTATCCACTTTCATCATATTTTCTATAATATTCATCACCTCTATCTGACCTCACAACATTTACCTTTCTATCTAGTTATCTTTCTACCTCATCAATGAACACATGTAAGACATCTACTAATTAAGATTTTTCATGCAACACATACAGGTAACAATAACGTGAGTAGTCATCAATAAAGGTAATGAAATATCTTTCACCACCCCAAGATGGGATGTCAAACGGACCATAAATATCAGTGTGTGTCAACTTTAAGAGTTGACTACTTCTTGTGGTTAGATTCTTTGATGTGTGTTTAGTTTGTTTTCCTTTAATACAATTCACACAAACATCCCAGTTAACAAAATCCAATTGAGGTAAAATTTCACTTTTCATTCACCTCATCATCCTTTTTTTGGATATGTGACCTAACCTTTGATGTCACAAAAAAGTAGACCATTCATTATACACATTCAAATTACTACTAACAGTATTCTCAACATGAAATAGAAATTCAGTAAATTAAAACCAAATTCGTCCAACTTTGCAACAGAAACCAAA